GCACACACATATATACCTATATATAAATTTAAGAGGAAAAACTATAAGGTTATATAATTATTATTGTGTATTTTGTCTCTTTGCGATATATGAGGAGCAATTATGTATGCAGTAATAAATTTTACAGAGGAACTAATACCAATTTTAAACGAACGGGCCGGGTTTTCGCCAGACACCGAGCTTGCTTTGTATGAAGAAATTAAACCAAACCTAGTTGAGAAAATAGACAACCTAACAGAACCCCTGGAGAAAGTTCTCGAGGAATTGATGGACGGTGACATTATCGTCTTTCAAAAAGAAGGAGACAATGACATATACGAACTTCCAACGTGTCGAGAATATTTCAAGTGAGTAGTGCAAAGACTTTTGACGTGTCTCTTATTATCGATCAAATTGTATCTTTGCACTTGTTGTGTGGAACATTTTCTGACTAATCGATGAATTCGCGTTTCAGAGATCTATTCTACAGGGTAGAGGTGACGTTCTGCGACAAAACGATTCCAAACGACCCAGGTTTCACAATGGAACTTTCGCTAAGAATGACGTACGATCAAATGGCAAAAGCAGTGGCACAGCGAGTTGGCACAGATCCATATCTCTTGCAATTCTTCAAATGTCAAAAGTAAGGATTTGTATTTTTTTTTTTTTTTTTTATTTGCATTGCGACGTCGATAAGAACGGCTGATACACTATACGGCTGAGAACGCGAAAAATTTCGTGAGAAAATTTCAGTGAAAGAGGACTGTATCTCGTAATTGTGTTTCCAGCTACAAAGATTCCCCCGGCCATCCCTTGAAGTGTACATTCGAGGGTACACTCAAAGAACTGGTGTCATACTGCAAGTCGAAAGTAAAGAAATTATTTTACCAACAGCTCAGTATTAGAGTGAACGAGCTAGAGAACAAAAAACAGTTCAAGTGCATATGGGTAGGCCCGTCGCTTAAGGAAGAAAAGGAAATTATTCTCTACCCAAATAAAAACGGCACCGTTGCCACGTTGCTCGAAGAGGCTAAGAAGCAAGTAGAATTATCGGAAAATGGATCGGGAAAACTGAGGATATTAGAAATCAATTGCAACAAGCTTTTGCCTGGGCCGAAGGACGAAGTGCCCTTAGATAACCTAAACGCATCAGGCACCAAGCTGTACAGGATAGAAGAAATCCCGAACGACGAGTTGAATTTAGCGGAGGACGAAATGCTGGTACCAGTTGCGCATTTTCACAAAGATGTTTTCTCAACGTTCGGTATACCTTTCTTCTTCAAGATAAAACACGTGAGTAGTTCTTCAAAGTTCAATTGACACTTGAATCCGGAGATGCGGACAGATCGTGCATTAAATGAACATTACGAACCTCGCAGGGTGAACCTTTCCATAAAATGAAGGACAGGCTGTTGAAGAAACTGGGTGTTCAGGAGAAAGAATTCGAAAAGGTAGGCATCCTTATCTTATCTTTTTTGATCTCTTATGAGAATTCATAAAAAAACTTTGAAGTTTAAGTTCGCGGTGGTGTCAATGGGGAAACCGCAGTTTATTATCGATTCGCCGGACCATTGTATCGATATGACTGATTTCCTGCCTCACACAGGTAGTAAGTATGAGCGATGTCGCTCATCTTCCTAAAAGCATGTCGATATAAAGCATGTATACACATGCATACATATACATTAAACGATCACGTTGTATATGTCGTACTCTTTGTCAGTTTCTATCAGCGTGACTTAATCTGTGATTCATTGAAACTTGGTAAATCACGTTATTGAATTTTCTCAAGTCGCGTTGATAGGAACGCGACAATTGGTGCGTGATTTATATCATAACAGATATTGGTTAAAGAATGAATTATGTGTAATTGCTTTTAAATGCAGGCACATCACCACACAGGCCTTGGCTCGGCCTGGAGCACGTCAACAAAGCGCCGAAGCGCTCTCGCATCAACTACCTCGAAAAGGCCATTAAGATTTACAATTAAATTTCCACCACACGAAGAAGAATTAATTAGGCAGCCACTCATAATAATTTATACGACTCTGTATAGTGAGAGAGCGACGTCTGATACACGAAAGGATTGGAAAAAAAGGAATATGCATTCACATATTTGTTTCTTTAGCCAGATTAAATATACGCGATTTTAATACTATGAAAACGATATCGGGAGGGAGTAAATCCAAGCTTTGTATACGATGGATTATTAAGACTGTCGTGAAATGTGCAGTGGTATTTTACGCATCATGGAAGAGCGATATGATGTAGTTCCTCGACTTGAATTTGTAAAGTTCTTCTTATGTAACTACCCAGTCGGCTTGCTTTGGTGTCATGCGAGATTCGACGCGAACTTTTGCGTGGAGTACGGAGAACGTTTTCATTTAGAAATCCATTTTGTAAGCCGCACCCAATCTAATACCATCATCTGATTATTATCTGCAACACAGACTGGATCCTCTTTTTCCTGTAATTTTATTGGGACATTGGGAGAGAGAAAAACGGGCACGTTACTTCTGCAAAGTTTAAGTTTTTTCTTTTATTCTGTCGTGTAAAATTCGTATGTAGCTATTAAATCTCCAGAGCTGCTGCTGCTCGTGTGTTCCGCATAACATGTAACACTCATAATGCTATATTACTATGAAAAAGGACTGTTATATACATATTGCAATTGTAATCAGGATGTTTGAAATGTAGACTTGTTAATATTTACGCAAGACAAGAAAGCTAAAGAAAAGATTCAAAATTTCCAATTTGCCTTGAGAAATTTCATGTGAGATGTGAAGACGATACAAATGTCTCGGTAAAATTTCAATATCTAATTGAGCAAAGTACAAAGGACTACATTGCTACGTTCTTCTATGTTGCAACATATAACGAAACGTAAGAAGGTCGCAGACTGTGCGTGTGTATGTGTGTGTGCGTGTATGAGAGAGAAAGAAAGAGAAAATGGAAGTCTAAAGCTGCCTTTCAAACACCCTGAAACATCTTTCTTGCGTTCAAATGTACTTTTTTTATGTATTTTATCTTGTACATTTTACCGAAATCATGAAACACCGCAAACGCGAAAAGGTACATCCGAAGCAAGAGATTAGCGAAACGAGTCCTGCCCCTAAACGAGAAGATTCTTGTAAAAGGATGCAAATACTAGCTCAAACAAATTACGTAACAGCATGTTTGATGATTTTTTAATTTTTTTTTTTTTTTTTTAATTATATAGAAAAGTATGCGTGTGTGAAACGACCGCTCTCATTTTCGCGGAGCGACACGGAAAATGTAACGATTCTATTAAGAAGGTATCATAGTATTCTCTTAATTTGATCATTAAAGATATTAGCGATTCATTTTTCTTTTTTATATTTAATTTATAACGCACTGCACCTAAGAGTAATATCTTGACGAAGCTCTCATCGAGGGAATCTGCGTTATGCAAGATTTCCCGTTGCTTTCGCGCGAATCGTTATTTATCATTTTCTATACCTCACTGTGATGAACCCCTTAGCCGACATGTATTTAAAAAACACCACAACTCACAGATATTCAAAGTAGCGTAATTGTAAGCGAGTCGAAGAGGACCGACCGAGGTTTCTATATCGATTATTTAATGAATTTCTCCTTATGTTGAAAGAGGGGAAAAGAGAAATAACTGTTTATACATTACGTGCTTAAATTCTCAATGAGAGCCGTCGTCTACGAGCTTAGACGTAATTAAGGCAAAGCTTACTGTAAAGAAAGAGAACGAATCGCGGATTGCAAAAACGTAGTATAAAGAATCGTAACGTTCGCAATGTCGCATTATGTAAAGTTCGCCAGCACGAATACGTTGTAAAACGGGGATACACCAATTTTAAGCATTTACCTAAAATTGGACGATATATTTTGACGTGACTCTGTAACGTGGCATTTGTGTGTATCGTTGAATCCGTTGTTCTGCATTATAAATTGCACGAGTCGCTAGGATTTTGACTGGAGATACGTCGGAGAATACGAAAGTGCTTTGTGTCGCGCGATCGAGTACTGGTTATGCGACAGAAGAGAGTAAATCTCGATGCGCAATGGTATTTACGAAGATTGGATGCGTTAATCGAGCGAGAGGGAGAGAGAGAGAGAAAGCAGAGTGTGTGTATGGTACGCGTGGTTTTTTGTAAAACAGATCTAAACAAATATGGCTGTATATACAGACCGTTCGGTGGCGTATAATCGTAATTTTAATATAACGCATCTGTGAAAAAAAAGTTACTCCAAATTATTACATCGCGAACACGTCGAGCGTTTTTTGCTACTTATATCTATAATCGCGTTCACTTGAGTCTGTTCAGGATAATTTCTAGTAAGAGCATGTTTGTCAGATGTGTTGGAGGCGGATGCGAGAGCGAGTGCGAGAGAAAGAGAGAGCGTGTGCTTGTGTGTGTATGTCACTTACAATAAAATTCAAATAGAATTGTTGTAAAGAGCATAAGAGCATCACCATCACAGATCTGATTGCCGAGGAGATATTTTACAGAAAGAGACAGAGTCGCGAGTATCTTTGTACGCCTAAAGGTTGGTGTTCGCAATATCGTTGCATTATTATAGCCGCGTATGTTCCTGACTGCATTTCTTCAATATTGTCTTTTCTAGGTGAACAGATAAAGAAAATACGAAAAAGAATGACACGATCGTTTCACAAAGAATCTCTGCCGAGTACAGGTGGAAAGCACGCTAGCGATAGACCTTTCGTAGTAGAAGCGGCGATAACGATATTTTATACAGTCTGCAAGGGAAGAAAAGAGAGAGAGAGAGAGAGAAAGAGGAAATGAGAGGATTCTCTCCGATACATGATTGTTGCAACCTACATAGTAACAGAAGGCCATGGAAATCACATTTTGTTGTTTATATATATACATATATATACACATATATATATACATACATACAAATATACATATATATGTATATATATATATATATATTTCGTTATTAGGTTTCTTAATAATTACTGAAGGCAATCTAGATATGAAAGAAACATGATATAGAGGGACAAGGCAGTTGATGAATTGAAAAGTAAACCCGTGTACCTTTCCTTTTTCAAGAAAAGAAAGTTTTACAAAAGTCTGTCCGAAACAATATCATGTCTAAGTTATCAATTGTATTAATCAGCAGTATATCGGCACGCGCGACGAACCGGGAGCCGGCACGCGGTTGCTTGTAATAGGTTGTAAAACGAGATTTTTGCGTTTTTTGTAGAGCTGACTTTATAAAAGAAACTGCTCAACTGCGATTGTAAATTTGACTGTTTGATAGTTCATTTCTAGGGCGAGCGATGAACTAAAATGCGATGCAGGAAGTATGCGTAAAGAAAAATGAATAATAAAAAGCAATACAAATGGACGCGCGCGAGTGTTATCATTTTCAATATATTTCTCTTTGTGCCTTTATTCGAAGAACGACACACATCGTGGATATATTTTATATCTTAGTATTTAGAAACACATCTCACCGTTGAACGAACACAGCGATACGCCGGACGAATTCGCAGAGGCTTGATTCTTGTATCAATGCGAAAATCCGTATTTCCAGGTGTTTGCGCGCTGCAATTGCAAAACGTACACGAGCGTGTCGTTAGATCGGCTTTCTCTTGCGGTCGATCCCGTTTCCGCCTGAACGCCACCACGCTATCGTTAGTCTAGGTATCATAATTGAGTAATTAGATAAGCAAGTGCGTAACAGCGTTGTGCGTCAACGATTAGAAAATTTGTTGCGCGTCTTTATAGCTGAGCTCAGCTCGTTTCCTCGTTGCGATTATCGAGAGTCGTACACTCGTCGTTGCTTAACTTTGCAGCCGATATTTGCGAATCTCCAAAGGATCGCGCGCACATCTCCGCGTAATATCATCGCAAAGAAATGAAAAATCGATGTCACAGTCTAACAGTTGATTATTAAACGGAAGGTCTTCTTCCACAGACGAGAATGATATATCTTGTTGCGAATATAATTGATTACATCGTAAGATATGTACTCTTCAAAGATAAAATGTCCAGTACGCGAATTTATCGAAGAATAGCGTGGCGACAGGGGATGAACAAATCGACACCACGAAAGGAGATTGGCGATAAGGGAAAGCATTCAAAGGTCTTGATAAAAATGCCGACCAGATCGGCTGGTTCAAACGGGAGCTGCATGCACATGTGCGCACGTGCGAAGCAAGAAAAAGTCTCTATCGCCGCGAGACGTGCACTACTTTCGAAGGAGTGACGCGAAATCGCGCGATTCGCCTCGACGATATTGCAGCTTGCCCGTCTCGACTCGCGTTGTTCAAGAATTGCGAATCTTTCCGTTCAAGTACTCTCCGAGAACACGAAGATCTCTAACAGAAGAAACACGAGTCTTGCAATCTGGAAGTAATCTTGGGAAAAAAAGGAATGTAAGTATTCCATCGCGAATCTCGAGACCAGCTCGTTCAGATTTTCTCGATGTGTGCGCGTGTGTGTGCATACATGCGCGCGTGTAGTGTACACCGTAGACTCATTAATTGCAAGTTGAACGTGTTTCCATTGGGAAATCGAGAGTGCTGCTATGTACAGGTTCGATCAAGCGATGGAAACTATTCGACGACATCAACCTTAGAGGCTTATTCTGTAATTTTCAATAACAGTTATTGTGTTATTATCGTTGTTATCATTATGCAACTTGTCTACCATATATTATACCTACCTAATAATAACGATGCTATTATAAAAAGTACAGAATAGACTCCTTAGAAACATGCAATGGTAAACTAACAGTTCTGGTAAGACAATCAGATGAAACGAACAAAAGTCAAGCTGAAAGAAAAATTGGAACACTTATTTCAAATTTGTTGAATCTTTGAAATAATTTGAAGATTTATTCAAGCAGTGGCACCAGTGAGAAAATCATTTTCCTTTCATTATTAGCACAAAGGAATGTGTAGTGCAAACACTTAGAGAATAGTCTAAAATTATCGAATGCTAATAAGAAATATCTGTGAGCAATTAATATTGAGTCAAACTAAAAACACATGTAAGCATTTTGTATGCAAACATTCTATCTTGGTTCAATGTACCAGATATTATACATGTTGATATATTACTTATTATTATTAATGAAATATAATTTATTCAATGCTCTGAGATAGATTTTCACAAGTACAAACTAATGCAAGTCCAAAAATCACCAAATTATTGTACAATTTTCAAACTTATTCATTACATGTAAGATTGAAAATGGCACCAGCAATCCTAATTACAATTTCAAAGCATATACAATGTCTGAGACATACATACTGTTTATATATCATGTAAAATAATTAAACACCTTGGAAATGTGCTGGTATCTGTGCCAATCGTGTAGTGAAAATTAAGCAGGAGTTAGCAATAGAGATGTGCAGTTTGGCGAGCTAATCCTGCGTGAGAAGAAGCTGTTGCATCGTTTCCCCCTTCAGCAATACTGAAATAATAAATAGCAAATATAAAAATCTGCAGATACTACCATTGCTCGGATTCTCGCGCGAACGAATACGTTTCTCGTGAGTCGCGCTCGTGACGTCACGGGACACATGCGCGGTGACTCGGCAGTGTCTCGCGCTCGTCATCTGGCAGAGACAACGGCAATTCGGCTCGCGACGAAGAAGTCGACGAGGAAGTCGAGTCAATTTTCCATGTGCTTGTTCTTCGCGCAGAGATCACGGTAGCGCCGTTCCGGTACAGAAGGGATCGAACGAAGACGTGGATACGGTGTGAAGCGGGCGCGTGAGTGACGTGATCATCCACCAGTCGCCACAGTCGTGTGCGAGGCGCGAGGATGACCGGCAATTGGTCGATTTTGAACCGGCGCGCTTTTCAATTGGCCGAAGGTCTGCTGAATAACCGGCCCTGTTGCAGCAGACGTTTCGCCAGCGTGAGGACACGCATTCCGGAAATCTGCGAGCCGGCGCGAAGAGGCGTTCATTTGTCAACCACCTGTTGCGTGCCGAAGCAAGTGAGTTGTTTATTTACCAAATAACGATGCGATTTCCGAATTGAAACACGCGTCAACTGTGAAGGTCTTTCTCTGTTCAACGAGCGACGACGCTCGTTATCGCACGTGGTCGAATCATGGATTGTCCTTCCTAAATCTTAGACAGTGACAAGAGCGTTGCTAATGTCGTCGACTTGAAGGTCATCGTGGCTTCAATCGATCATAATATGTTTTCAAGTTCGTTCGTTATTGAAGAACTTTCGAACTAGTGCACGCTAATGCGATAAGCTAAGTTGAAAGAAAGTACATGACAAAAGAATTGTTATCGTTTCAAAGTTCTCGTTATCTTTTATACATATGGAAAATAGACTGCACGAATGTTACGACAGCTATTTCGTAACGTACTTTTTCAATTCTCATTTTCTTCGGAATATCATTTGGGCTTATCACGCGAGTCTATTTATCTCTCCCGCATAACACGATATCACATTTGTCGTACGATATTTGTCAGAACGATTTCTTCATCTATTCAATACGAATGCGAGTAAGTAAAATGCGATTAATCGCCGTAGATTCTGAAACATTCGCGAAATGCGAGACGTCATCGTGTATAAATATATTTTCGTGTGTATTGCACCATGTATGGGGTTATCGAATGAACTCTCATGGATCAATTTACAAGCGCGATATGTGTTACACGAGTTCAGATGCAGTCGCCGTAGCACTCTCCTCGTATCTTAATAAAGTCCAAGTGCTCGTCAACGAAGTTCACTGATACAATTCGGATTATTTCAGACTTATCGTGAGGTAACGTTAAATAAAAATAAAAAAACAAAGAACAAACAAATTAAAATTTTCAGGAGAGCTTGAGAAATATTTGAAATTAAACAAATAATAGATAATAGATTAACTACTTTTACTTTATTCAACAATAATAATAAGCGTTAAATAATCGTTAAATAAGTATTAAATAATTATTTATCTGAATATATTTTAATGATATTAAACCATGAACTTGTTACCATGAATTGGACAATGTTGTGATGATTGACAGAACATGGCATCGATACTTTTCTCCAATATCTGGGAAACTGATCCTGAGCTCTTCGAATTGATGAAGAAGGAGAAGAAACGGCAGCAATGTGGGTTAGAATTGATTGCCAGTGAAAACTTCACATCTCTCAGTGTGTTGCAGTGCTTGAGTTCGTGCTTGCACAATAAGTACAGTGAGGGAATGCCTGGTCAAAGGTATCAACTTTCTGTTGCAATTATTTCTTTGTAGGATTCATGTGCATGTGCATGCAATGTAAAGTAAGTAGAATATTGCAAATGATAACATACTAAAAAGAATACTTAATTCATAAGACAGTGACCGTGTCTGTTTTGAATATTAATTATGAAAATTTAATGATTTAAAAAGAACAAGTTGTATGGAATTTTTATTATATGACTGATTGATAGATTTAACTTTAAAGAAGTTGAGAATGTAACCAGAAAGTTCTGTGGATTCTAAATTGTTTAGGAAAGTATATAAGTGTACATCAGGATTAAAAAAAATCAAATGAAAATGTAAACTTTTCCTAATTAATTTTTAAGTTGCATTCTTTAAATAACATCTAATACATAGTTTACATTGTCTATATATAGATGTAGATTATCATAACTTAAACGCTCAATATTGCTTCTTTGTAACAAATTCTTTACTATGAAATCGCTCATTGCTCGATCAAAATTCTCTTCTCCTTTTTCTATTCTTATATATTCGTAGATATTATGGTGGAAACGAATACATCGATGAGATCGAGTTACTGGCGCAGAAACGTTCCTTGGAAGCCTTTAATTTAAACCCTGAAGAATGGGGCTGTAATGTGCAGCCTTATTCGGGAAGCCCGGCTAATTTGGCGGTGTACACAGGTCTGTTGGAGCCTCATGGACGTATAATGGGCCTGGACTTGCCCGATGGGGGCCATCTTACTCATGGTAAGTGAATAAGATTCGAGCAAATTGACCAATTTATACATGCGCGCCGCAACTCCTTCACAATCAGTCTTATCTACATATGCTGCTACAGGTTTCTTCACGTCGTCCAAAAAGATCTCCGCCACGTCTATCTTCTTCGAATCCATGCCGTATAAAGTTGATGCCAAGACTGGCATAATCGACTACGACAAGTGCGCGGAGATGGCGAAATTATTCAAGCCGAAAGTCATCATCGCCGGAGTTTCCTGCTACAGCAGGTGTCTGGACTATAAGCGTTTCCGTCAAATCGCCGATGAGAATAACGCCTATCTCTTCAGTGACATGGCGCATATTTCGGGACTGGTCGCCGCCGGATTAATACCCAGTCCTTTCGAGTACAGCGACGTTGTTTCGACGACCACGCATAAAACTTTGCGGTATACACACGCATATAAGCATTGTAACAATTGAATTTACGTATTGTAATAACTCGAATAATGACATCTTGTTCATTTCAGAGGTCCACGCGCGGGCGTTATCTTCTATCGAAAAGGTGTTCGAAGTATCGCGAAGGATGGGAAGAAAATTATGTACGATATCGAGAATAAGATCAATCAAGCGGTTTTCCCAGGCCTCCAAGGTGGACCTCACAATCATGCGATCGCCGGTATAGCTACCATTATGAAGCAAGTCAAGTCGCCAGAATTCGTCACTTATCAGAAGCAAGTAGTGGTTAACGCACAAAGACTGTGCCAGAGTCTGCAGAAGTACGGTTATCAGATCAGTACGGGTGGTACGGACGTTCACATGTTGTTGGTGGATCTGCGATCCAAAGGTATCACTGGTTCAAAAGCGGAAAGAATCCTGGAATCAGTGTCCATCGCTTGTAACAAGAACACCGTTCCCGGTGACAAAAGTGCATTGAATCCTAGCGGCATCAGGCTGGGTACGCCGGCGCTCACTACTCGTGGTCTGACTGTAGATGATATCGACAAGGTTGCGGAATTCATACACAAAGGTAACGCCGTTAATTCTTTTCTATTCTTGGCGTTTTTGCTTGAGCAGTTTCTGAGCGCTAATCAGCTGAACATTGTGACTCAAATAACATGGTCTACACTTTAATTAGAGAGAAATAGATTACCGTAATCATAATTTTATATTATTTCTAGGATTACTACTTTCTAAGGAAGTGAGTGATATCTCCGGGCCGAAGCTGGATGATTACAAAAGAGTATTAAGCACCGATGAGGGTATTAAAATAAAGGTCGCGCGGCTAAAAAAGGAGGTAGAGTCATTTTCGTCTACATTTCTAATGCCCGGTTTGGACACATATTAATATCGCAATAATAGTAGATTCGTTGAGTTTCGGAACATTTGATTTAAGCCATTTTTTTACAATTTGCGGTTTTGCAAAATTATCTACAGGATTATACAAATTATAAATATTGTACATAGACTTCTATATAATATGTTAATTGACTGCTCAGACTGCGTGAACCAAATATATAGAAGTCTATAATTTTATAATTAATGGTATATGTAACGTAATTGTTTTTTACGAAGTGTTCATTGAGGTAGGACGCGGAGGCGTGATGCCGGGCATATCTATAGTCAGGAAAGATTTATTTATCATTTCCATGGCCTTCTGATGGCCATGGACTTCTTTCTTCGCGACGGATTTCAAGCGAGACGATTCCATCTCATCTTCTTGCTAGTGACTGGCACGAAGTTTCTCCAGTCTTGCGAATCGTGAGTCGCAGTCTCTCATTGTTATGTACGTCCTGTCCCAAAATTCGTACAGATACGCGCAGTTGACCAGCAAAAGTCGCTGTCATCCTCAATAATTATTCGTCATTTATTTATTTCTTTTTAATCTTTATATATCTTAACATCTGATAATTCACGAAAAAGTGCAGAAAATAGACAGTGCCGACTACTGCAATGCAGTAACAGGTCGCGAAATTGTTTGAAATTTTCGTTTAGCAGCAAGGTCGTCTGCTCGACCGCCTGACCAATGAGGCACCGGGCCTCCTCCATGATGTCGTCCTGCGACTAAACTCCTGTCCATTCCTCGTAAAGTTTCTGAAGCCTTCCAGTTTCTGTATGCAGTAGATACTTGAAACGCTGTACAGTATACTCCCTTTCTTCCCTCGAGACATGAAGTGTTCGAAAGTTTATAAGCTTTCAAGATCAAAAGAGGCTGGTGATGAAGTCTTTTTTGACCTTGAAAGCTAGATAAGTTTATTTGCAAAAATTGCTGAATCTCTGAACTACTCATTTCTTCTTCGACTCTGATATTATCTTCAGTGCTATTAGATATGATTATCTTCATGTATTTTTCTTCCATGCTATATTCTTCCATTGTACATGAAAAAACCGACGATCGCTTCACACTAAGATTTAATGATTTTTCGAATGAAGAAAACGAAGTTTCGGATGATTTGAATTTGTAATTAAGTAGAGCGAACGATTTATCATTTTCAACCTCAAACTCGATATCTTTTAACTTTTGAAAACTTTCAGTCTTCGGAATCGTAGATGATGATTTTATAACGTTTGCGGCTTTTTTAGCCAGATGCTTTTGCGTGGCCTTCGTGATTCCTAACTTAAGATTTTGCATGTTCTTATATCATTGGTTTCTTCTTGTTCGCGGCTGACGTGTAAGTGGATGCTATTGGAGGATAAATACGGTGATGAACAATTCCGACCTTAAACGGCGATCTTTTGTTCAATTTCTCCTGATTCCTTTCCTTCTCTCGCTCTGCTCCCGACTTTGATATGTAAGAGTCGAAGAGAGTCGGTATATCGAAAGCCGGAGTTTGCTGGGTCGGGACTCGAACCCGGGTCTTTCGCTTGCCGGGCGACTGCCCTAAATCACTGAGCTACCCAGGCTCCCACTCCAACACACTCTCTCTCGTCTTGTTATTATCAAGATACCGCGTGTTATCTCAGTTTGGTTTACATCCTACAGATAATTTCTTCTGATTTTCTAAAATATTGAGTAGGGGAAAACATTTAGAGAGAAAGAGAGAGGGAAAGAGGTAGATAGATAGAAAAAGAGTAGTCGGCACTCTTCATTTTCTGCACTTTTTCGTGGATTATCAGGTATTAAGATATACAGAGATTAAAAGAAATAAATAAATGGCGAATAATTATTAATAAATAATTAATAAATCTCCATATATACCTGAACATTTGATGAAATCCGAACAAGAGTGTGGGCTACTGAGCATTGTTCCTTATATCATCTTTTGTAGGATCGAAAAATCTTTCTTATATGTGTATTATATCAATTAATTTTTATCTATTCAAGAAATGTAATTGTATCCTTAGCGAAATCTTAAGTTCTGACTTCAAAAAGATTGTTCGAAAAAAAATATTCTAATAATAAAAAAAGACAGTTTAGTTGCAAGATGCTATGCAATTCCATATTCTAAAAGAAAACTTTTGTTGAAAAAATATTTCTTCTCGTTAGAAGAGGAATGATATTGTGCTTGGAATATTTTTCTCAAAAGAATATTCCAATAATACTCTTAAAACCATACATAGATTCTACTAAGGATGAGATTATATTTCTTTTTGGGTGTTAAAAATGCTGAAGAATTCTAAAAATGTCGGTAACTAAAGACGATCTCATTAATCACGCTATTTTTTTTGTACAAAAAAAAATCAGACCATCTTTTCGAATGTACATATATATTTTACATAAATACAACGTATGATACTTTGTTTTACTATATTTAGCGGAAAATCTGACCACGCATGTACAGTAATTTTCCCATATAACACAATGTCTAAAATCGGGACATAAGACCTCTTAAAACATCTTAGCATCTTAGGGATGTCTTACATTTCGATGTCTGAGAGACATATTATGTCCTGAATTTTAAACTTTGTGTTGTGTGGATTTCTGCTAATTTTTCCGATATTTTTAAGTTTCTAGATTCAAATGTAAATATACAGCAGAGTTTTTTGAAATTTTGTGCTTGATCGTATAACTGTCTTTTTCGAACTTTTTTCGACATATTCGAAACAAATCGGACATATCCAATAAAAAACTTATCTACTGAGAATTACTAAGAAACAAATTTTCTCGTTGGATATTGTTTGCATTTCGAAATATATCAATGTGTTCGTCATTTCTTGCAAGAAAGTATAAGAATAACTAAAAATGAAATTATTCGATGGGCTGTTAAGAAATCCGTTCTTTCCACATCGAAATCGATTACATCTATTTGTCGCGAATAGTCTCGTTATCATAGAACACGCATAAAATGTCAACATCTAAACATGAGAAAAACGTGTATCGTCTCGAGGTAAATAGAATCTGCACGACTTTCGAATGTTATCGAAATCATCTACCAATAAGGTCTTAATGCGTCTTCTGGGCAAAGTTGGAAGCGTTCCCTCTATAAAAAAGGCATGGACATGTCCATTATTGTCTCTTTTCCGCAATGCCCATTGGCTATCTCGAAATCTCGATCTCGATATGCGCTCGGAAAAAAAGTAAAAGTAAATAAAAGTATTTACAATTGTATGAAATTAAACAGAAACAGTGCAAACTACATTATGTTAGTATTCAGTAACCTCTTAATATTAAGGCCCATATTGTAAATTCTTGATAACATTGCTTCTAAATATAGCTTATAAGCTTCCTGATCGGCTCATAAGAACATTGAAAGATACTTTTATTAATAAAAGAGAGATTATAGAAAGAATCTAATAAGATTATTAATATTTTCTATTTACATACAAATTTATTTTTGGACATAAATGTAAAGTTATCTAATAAGATAAAGAATCTAATAAGATTATTAATATTTTCTATTTATATACAAATTTTTGAATATAAATGTAAAGTTATCACTGATAGATATACTACTCTGATACATTGTTGGCGCTTTTTTTAAAATAATCAATAAATAATAAATGTATATTGCGTACGTTTAGAAAATTCTAATAACTTTAGTGCATTATATGTTGATCTGCATCATATTTTTAAAGTAGCAACAATAAAAAAAAAAACTATTCACAAGCAGCAGCATTGTACACTTTAACATTTGGGCCCTTCTGTAGATAATCCAAGGCCAATTTGCAAAAGTTTTGTAGAACTGCGAAAATCACGATTACGATTATTTTTTACGACTTTCTCATAATGAAATATAAGTTTAAACATTGACAAATAATTTTCCCATATCTGGCAGTGATTGTTCTGCTAGAAACAATACATGCTTCTTGTTAGCCTGGCTTCACTGTTAGCATTTTTTATTTTTAAAAAATATGTTGCTTATTGAACGGGACGGTTTAAATCAAAATAAACAACAAGGAAGATTAATATTTATCTCTATTTATTTCTGAAGATGGATGAAAACGTACCAATCAAAACAGAGTATTTATATCCAGCAAGCAATCTAGCACGAAACAAGCACCGTGTATCGTTGGCATTATTCTATCTTTGTTGAAATGAATTGTCCCTATTTATTTATTTATCTATTTCTTCTATCGCTGAATTGTCTCAATATAATACAAAAAAATTAGCTAGATGTTTATATCTACCACTATCTCGATCCCTCGTTAGAGAAAGTGGCGGCTCGTAGCGGAGACTTTGGAACTAATTTACAGAAATAACGGATTCAATCCACTATCAGGTCTGTAAATATGAAACCGGAATTTGCCCATAGATGGCCCTAGCTGTCAATGTAGTTACCATTGAATAAAGAATACCAGGAAGGAGTATGTTGCGATTTATCGCAGATAATCGATAAGATGCATTGGTTCAGTTTTATGACGTCATTTGTGACGTTCTGGAAACACAAGTTTGGCGGTATATTTCAAACACGTTGGAAGTATATAAGAAAGAAATATTGCTTTGAAGAGAATAAAATATATAAAAAATATATATAGAAAAGTTTTATAATTTGTTACAATATATATTGTATATATAAAAAAGAAAAATATATATATACATATACATCGTAGATATCTTGTAACAACAAATTATAAAAAATTATTATGTATATGTTTTTTCCTTATAAGAAATAAATAAATACGTATAATATATAGTATTTGTATATATATAAAATATATTTATTTATATGCAAAGTATAATAATGTATACAGTATATAACAAATGTAAAAAGAAAGTTTGCTTAATTAAAAGTCACATTACACTCAATTTTAATATATATAGTTACAAATTATGTGTTAGCCAATCACGTATCAGGTTCCAGAAGTATAATTGTAGTTCTTGCGGAAAGTGGCACGTTGATTGGCTACCGCTTTAACGCTTGACGCTCGATATTCCCATGAAAAAGTCCCCTTATGATGTCACATCCTTCGCACTGCTAACAAAGGATTTTCTCTTCTATACTCCTTCCTGGTATTCTTTATTCAATGGTAGTTACCGTCAAACCGCGTCATTGGCGCCATTTCCTTGTTGACATCTCTGACAAAGATTTTCAACTCACAGCAATACAAGTTTCATACAACAGCATAGTTTGTAATAGCGAATATGTCGAATTTTGTGCCTGGAAACTACGATTTGCGGACAGCATTGATTTTCTGTTACCATTTGAAGAAAACTGCTGCAGAATCGCATCGAATGCTTGTCGAAGCTTACGGTGAGCATGCTCTTGGTAAATCACAGTGCTTCGAGTGGTTTAAAAAATTCAAAAGTGGCGATTTTAACGTGAGAAACGAAGAACGTGGAAGACCACCGAAAAAGTTTGAAGACAGCGAATTGCAAGCATTGTTGGATGAGGATGACACTCAAACGCAACAACAACTCGCGGATCAATTAAATGTGACACGAGAAGCCGTCTCCATACGTTTGAAAGCCATGGGAAAGATCCAGAAGATGGGAAAATGGGTTCCACATGAACTGAATGAAAGACAGCCAAGGAGAATTAAAAGTCACGATAAAGTCAAAATGACGTCAAAAAGACGTCAAAAGGGAAGAAGTCACAATAACATCAAACCGGCAAAAAAAATGACTAGAATTTGACATCATTTTGATGTCATTTCACTAATACACTACTGTTTTATATTCTATATTGCACATAAGCATCACAAATTCGTAGATGATGAAAGAATAATATAGAAATAAATTACAATAACTTTTTATTGTAATGTGTTTGTAGTACATGTGTAGTATACATTATTGAATATTTAAATAAATATATATACTATATTAATATCTATGTTAATATTATATTATATAAATTCTAACAGATCAGTCTTCTCAAAGGCAGTTTTTCTCAAAGAGAAAATAACTTGAAAAACATTTACAAAATATAGTGCTTCAAAATACTATCTATCAATAAGACTTAGAAATAATTCAATCTCAAACATAGACACAGCCTGTCAACTTAAAACTTAAAAGATATTTTGCATTTTAAACATATTTAAAATTAAAAATATTTTGTATTTTAAACATTTGAATATATATATTATATAAAAGTTTTGTCACATTAACTAAAAAATAACATTGTAGATCTTTGCTAACTTGAAGGATATTGTTTTCTTAAAAACATTGTTTCTAATAAAATTGTAAACATCATGAAATTAATTATGGCAATACATAATGTTTCTTTTTAAACTGGAGGCAAAATAAAAATGAGAGTCTTAATGGCATAGAAATAAACTTTATAAAACAACTAAAACCAAACCATAAATAACAAACATCAAATAAAATCATCAATAAAAAACATCAAATTTATGAGACTTACAGCAAGTTTGTAACATGCAAGATTTTATGGTACTTATATAATAAAGCCGAAACACTATAGTACCCAAAAGACTTAATTAATCTAGTCTGATCGTTGTATGGAAGTGTTGAACCATTGTTTTATATAGCCTTCGAATACGGAAATTGGTATGTTAGAAAATTTTTTCAAGCAAATACTTATTAAAGAGAGAAAAAGTAGGGATAGTTTAATATATAATATGTGCATATGGTTATATATATAAAAAGCAAAATTATAATATGTATATTGCAAACATAATGTAACATGTAACATACCTGTTAGTTGTAATTTCCTACTCAGCAATGTAACAGTTACATAACGCTTGTGTTATATAATAATTACATTGTTAAGTAGAAAATTACAACTAACAGATATGTTACATGTTACATTGTGTTTGCTGGGTATGCTTATGTATGTAAAAACCAAAGTTATAATAAATCTGAAGACGACTTTTTAAAAAGCAAAATGATACCTTCTACTAGATTTTTTAGTTTGGATTTCTCAAAACTGAGCTTGACCCCTCCACAACCCTTCCAACTAATGAGTCGTGCCAAATTATTTTTAAGTAAGGTCGACAAAATAGAGTAAGTGAAGAGAGAGGTTGTCTCTCCCTTTCCTTTCCGTAACAGATATTTCAGCTGCAACACAAAAAACCAGTCAAATTACTTAATAAACATATAATAGTACTTATAAATTATGGTAGAAAACTCACCATATAACCATACAAAACTTTATCATCTAAATAGTTACTAAAGTCTACAAAAGATTCTTCAGTTTCCAATGGTAAGGAAGGGAATCCTCCAATGGTAAGGAAGACCGCTCAAATCCATAATTATCGAGAAACAATTCATGCAAAATTTGAGAAATCCCAATGTTCTGCCAATCTATCTTTGCTGACAGTTCTTGCATATAATTTAGGATTATTTAATTTTGAGGTTTACCTACCAACAAACCGTATAACTCAAATAACAACTTTGAAGTGAAGTAATTTGCCCATAATATGAAAAGTTATCATAAAAAGTATCAATTGCCAATGAAAATAATTCTCATTGTTTCAAGAATATACGAAAATACAGAATATACCACTCACTGCCAGTTGATCCGCAGTTTCTGCATATTGTTGATGGTCGTGAATCTATGAAAAATCAAAGCAAATGTTAAATTCGGAATCGAATATCAGTTATTACCATAAAAATAGCCCAATCAATAAAAATACTTTCTAACGAGCTTTTTGATGATGTAGGTCTGTCTAGGGAATAATTTTTTTTTCTACTCTTACATCACTATTGTAGTCAGACTTCAGCGAACTCAACAGTTGCACAACAGTTGAGCAATTCGTCAATATAATTGGTCTAAAGTTAGAGATCTAACAGTAAGGACCAATAATCACTGATCGCTCACTGATCAGCTATGTTTTCTGAACGCAGCCAATGCTCTGTGTTTGGTGGGATCAGAAGGGTGTGATCTATTATGAGCTGCTAAAACCTGGCCAAACCGTTAATACTGAACGCTACCGACAACAAATGATCGATTTGAATCAAGCTTTGCGTGAAAAACGACCAGAATATAAAAAAAGGCAACACAAAGTGATTTTGCTTCATGATAATGCACCATCACACACAGCAAAACTGGTCAAGGAAACGATTGAGGCGTTTAGTTGGGAAATACTTTCGCATGCGACTTACTCACCAGACTTGGCTCCGTCCGATTACTATTTATTTGCATCGATGGAACACCCGCTTGCTAAGCAGCGCTTTACTTCTTACGAAAATGTACGAAAATGGCTTGATGACTGCCCTTATAGAAATATTATACTAAAAATCATTGATAATTACTTATTATCCAGTATTTTTAATACTGAAAATAAGTAATTATCAATGATTCTTAGTATGATATTTCTATAAGGGTGGTTTGCCTCAAAAGAGCAATAGTTTTTTTGGCATGGCATCCACAAATTGTCAGACAGGTGGGAAAAATGTATAGCTAGCGATGGGCAATATTTCGAATAAAATATTTTTTATCATTTTCATACAATAAACGTGTATTTTCTATACAAAAATTCCGGTTTCATATTTACATACCTGGTAGATACTACAAACGCTAGTGAATCGCGCTTCAAAACGTTTGTAGCTTCTAATGGATTAAACCCGTTATTTCTGTAAATTAGTTCCAAAGTTTCCGCTACGAGCCGCCACTTTCTTAACGAGGAATCGAGGTAGTGATGGATATAAACAGCATTTAGCTAATAATTTTTTCTGTATTATATTGAGTTAAAATTACAATTCAGCAATAGGTAATATGTTTTTAATCCATCCTATATAAAAATAGGATAGATTACGTAGTCTATATAAAAATATAGATTACGTATAACAAAGATAGAATAAAGCCAGCGACACACGGTACTTGTTTTCGTCCTAGATTGTTGAATCAGCGCTACGATGACAAAAGATCTCGATAACATCAAGAAAATAGCCTCCAGTAAGATACTTTGATCACGACTGTTTATCGTATCAAGTATCGTGTCAAATTGCCAAGGACGGAAATTGCAACTTTCATTTAAAAAGTATCAAGAAAGTATCAATAATTTGTTGTATCATAAAACAATGAATATTTTTATTAAGAACGTAACGAGAGAGACACGTATGCATATTTTTCACAAAAAAAAATTACATACGATTAATAATTATTAAATATAAAGTTTATCGGGTACAGAAAGCTGCTACAATAATATGTATCAACCGTGTTATTTGTCGCTATACTTTCCGAGTGCGCCTGATTTTTACAAATATATATAAGATCTAAATTAAGTTTTTAAAACACTACACTCTTGCATTTCCACGCGTAAGTGAAACTGCAAGATTAGTATCAGACTGATGCGATATCCACATACACATATCCGAAGATATAGAGATATAGATATAAGATTAGAATACTATTAGAATTCATTTGCTAAGAGAATGCATGTCGTTTAGAAAAACAATATACATTCATGTAAGCATTATTATCAAATGTACAATATTGATTTTCGGTAAGTTTAATTTTTATAGAAAACCAATTTGCAAATATAGAATGTTTCAATCGGTTACAATGTATACATGTGATAATAAGTTAATTATCACATCTGTATGTAACAATGGCTATGTTCCGGATTGTTACAATAAAAAAAGGATACTCAATGTACTTATATGTAATTCTTATTATAAGGAGGAAAACATACTCATTACAAATCTAAATTTATTAGCTAAATGTTGTCTATGTTCTCATTTTTTTTTCTTCTTTTTAGTACACAGCAATATTATATTATTCTTATTAATTGATATTGTAAAGTGTGTTTTTCATTAAACAGTGATGGCCGTAATTTCATTAATTGAATATGTGTCTTCACTAGAGTCTTAAACAATTCTTGCCTTATAGTACGGAGAATTCGATAAATAAATATATTACTTGTTGTTTTGGATACAATTCATTTTCCTGATTTCTTAACAACAAGTATTCTCGATAAGCATTCTTCATCTCGGAAGCTATAATTATGTCACATTTATTTGTCATACGTGATTTTTAGTTCATATAAAATAAATTTTCGATTCAGCAGTTACACGCAAGTGTACATTGATGTGATTATATGCATGGTATACAGGTTGTAATTAATGGCAAGGATTTTATTCAAAGTCCAAGTATAATTGCTGAATTCATAACAGCATGTACAGAATAGCGCCAAGTGTGTGTGTGTGAATGCCAAATATTTAACCGAAACAATAATTTCTGTTTCCCCCTTGACTCTTGTGGAATACAATATTAAATTAAATTTGAATACTCTCTTCAAAACTTTACAAATAATGTATATATGGTATATACATGTATGTAGAGGTATATACTAAAAATATATACATACAACCAGTACTTACGTCTCAAACGGTAGTCCTTTGTAGATTATGCTTTTACATGCAAAAGTATATGCATCTCATTATTGCACATCCATAAGTTTGACTCGATTAAAAAGAAGTTCAATTACAAGTATGTATAAAAAGAATCAAGATGCCTACGCACTATTGTGAATTCAGTGTACGTAACTTACAACTTTGATAAATTCCCGGTAAGATGTCGTCCCACATACTTTCATCCCTCGAAGATTCACACGTACCTTTCTTCTTTCCTCCAGTTATAAGTTCCATGCTTTAAAACCTCGTGTATGGATAAGACGAGTATAATTGGTGAAAGTATTTGGGTCGAGATATAATATGTATTTATATATAAAAGTTCCATATATTCAGCATCACACTGCACAACGCTGTCTCATCTTTAATCAATCAAGTTCTTGCACGGCGTACGAGGTCGAGGCTGTATTTTGTTGCTCGTCTTCGTATTCGTCATCTTCCAGGCCATTGAAGAAGGATTGTAGTAACGAGCTGAATAATCCCTGATTGCGTGGACGCGGTGGTGGAATATTGAAAAAGAGTTGGCCTATTTTGTCTAAGTACTGTCGATAACATGGATCTCTGTTTAAGGATATCTGGTATTGATCGCAAAGTACTGTGAACACCGCTAATTTTCCACTGTAAAATGCATCAGATCAGAGTAAACGGACGAGGAACACAGCTGCAGAATTAAGAATGTCTTAGATATCATGAAATGTGATTTATGCTATCGGTTTACCTGTCAATCGTTTTGAGTAGAAAAAACAAAAAGTTTAATAGAGGAAGAAGGTACGGCGGACCACTATTTATTTTTGGATGCCTTGAAGTGTAAGAGTTAAAGGCCTCCTGCGCCGTTGCTTTGTTTTGTAGACAAAGATACCTACGACAAAGTCATGACTTTTAGTACGATTATTTTATTACATATCAATACCATATCTCTGATTAATACTGCAATTCTAAGCAAAATCGTAAGTCTCGTAACTTGTTTTCGTAAAATTCGTCAGAACTTATGAATAGATTTACAAGTCTATGCAATATCATATGTCGTACAATCACTTGTAAATATCGTAAATTATATGAAATAGTAGGTATTTACGAGTAATTGTACGACATATGATATTGCATAGACTTGTAAATCTACTCATCAAGTTCTGACGAATTTTACGAGAACAAGTTACGAGACTTACGATTCTGCTTAGAATTGCAGCATAAATCTTTTACTTTGTTTCTTTTATACCTCTAATCTTATTATATTGTGTAATGTGAAGTATTCTGTAAGAACTATAACATTAAGAGTGACAAAGACCTCAGAAGGTCAGTGTGCTTACTGAAAGACCGCATGAGCTATGAAGAGGTCTATTTCGTTCACATATCCACGCTGCTCGTGAAGCTCCACCAACATCGCTGCACATCCGGAACCATCTCTACTATGCATAAAGTGCTGCCTTGCCATTATATAATTTTTTTCTGATAAAACAGTCAGTTTATTATACATGACATGCATAAAGCGAGATCGGTAGCAATGCTCATTGATTACCTCTCCAAAATATTTGTGCTATCTTCTGGTGCAAGTCAGGATGGCCAGTTTTGTAATCTGTGCCCTTTATACTCCACTTGAGCGCAGACTGCACAAATACCTCTCTCTCAGGAGATATAGGACTCATTGTGCTGAACAGAGTGGTGATTTTTTCGAAGAAGCTATGTGTAGGCTCCGTCTCGGATTGCGTTAAAACATTGATAAATAAAATACCTAAGTCAGCTCCACTGGCGTGCTGCAACACACACACATGCAACATTACACAATTGTACGATTACGACACAACGTAATCGAACGAATTATCATCCGCGCTAGACTCGCACCAATCACGACCGCACAACAGTACATTAACACTTCAATAAACCGTTTATCGTTACTTCGTGGAAGCATAACTCGGAGTGTTCGAACTCGTTGAAAATCCCGACGACTATTGTTAAAGAGCATGACATTCGACAACGACACTTGTCTCGTAACTATTCACATACCTGATCGTGTTGTAATAAAAGCATCGATCCATTATATAGCAATTCCAAAAGTTCCGAGTATTTTTTCTGGCCGAGGTATCTGCAAAGTAGAGGTTAGACAGGCACGATGAGGATCGCGCATAAGAAATGACAGTTTGACGGCGCAAGGTAATCGCGGCAGCTGGCTCACCTGAAATACAAAGTTCTGTACATCTGATGGGCCTCATAATAATTTTCCGAGTTTATCGACGCCTCCAATTTCGCCAAAACTCGCTGAACACCGTGACTGTACCGCGAGGCCATGTTTATACTATACGGGTAACCTCGCACTTTTACGCACTCACGGTTGGTATTAATGTGCGATTTACGTATGTAATTTAAATTCGATGAAGCATGCACTTCTCCGCTGACAAAGCTGATAAACTCGTGCGTGTGTGCATGCGTGTGAGAATACGATGCATCGGACGATTAGACAGAGACGCATGAGCGACGTCGAAGAGGTATCGACGTTTAAATAATTACGAAAGAATCGATTTTTAATAGGCGATTATGCCTTAAGAATTGCGTGAATCATTGATTCATATTTAATTTCTCTCTTTTCCTCTTGGAATGTATGCATTATTTTTAGAAACGCCGGTAGGGTCTCCTGACCTTTCGTCAGTGAATTCTACTGCAGCTAGAACGAACACTGGCCAGTGGTGTTCATTCTTGTCCAACTGCAAACTGTCTTTCATTTGCTACGTTGGCGATCCTGCTGGCAGAATCAATCATTGGTCACGTTCAACGGAAAAACTGCTCCGTTACTGCTTTATAGCGAATGTTCATGATTAGAGTATTCTTTTAAATCTTTGACCAATCAGAGACGGAGCGGTAGCGGGGTAGTTTTCTCCGCTGAACGTAACTATTGGCTGCGTTCAGCAGAGAAAATTGCTTCGCTACCGCTCCGTCTCTGATTGGTACGTCTGTCCGGACCTATCAAAGGTTTAAACGAATACTCTAATTAATAATCGAAGCATTTTTTCTGCTGAACACCATTGGCTGCGTTCAGCAGAGAAAGCTGCTTTGCAACTGTTGTAAAATTCGTGAATCTGATTGGAGTATGCTCTTAATTTGGGTTGAATCCTAGAACATGTATCAATCAGATTCACGAATTTTACAACAGTTGCAAAACAGTTTTTTCTGCTAAACGCAACCATTGGGCGCGTTCAGCGGAAAAAGCACTCAGTGAGCAATCAACGATTATTGGTTCTTACTGTTAGATCCCTAAATCTAGACCAATTATATTAACGAATTTCTCAACTGTTAAGAGACGTCTACATTGGAAGTAAGCAGTAAGAATAAGAATTGACCAATCATAGTTGATTATTCTTCTCACATTCGACTATGGTTAGTCAATTTCTTACTCTTATTTCCTACTTACTTCCAATGTAGACGTCCCTTTAAGATCGGACTATGAATACTGCCCCTAATCTCCTATTGGATGTTGGACATCGAATGCATTGTGAATCCTCCATTAAACTAGAAGCATTAAATGCTTATTTCGTGCTGGTTTGCTGATTGGTGCATTTCTGAAGATGAATGGAAATGCACCAATCAAAAAACAGAGTATTTTCATCCAGCAAGCAACCCAGCCAAAAAACAAGCACCGTGTACCGCTGGCTTTACGTACGGAACGACAATTGAAATACTGACCGAAGGTTGTCGATTTGTGATTGTGTCTCGTCGAATGCTTGAATCACCCATTACACACGCCATAGCAGCTTTCGCCTCATTTCATATTGTGCAGCCTTGTGGGAGAGTGCGAAGAATATTGGCTTGGTCTTTAAAGCTGGGCCTTAAAAGTGTGTTCTCTACGTTTACTGGTAGTTACGGAATTTTCCTGACGTTGGGGAGCCATAAAAAGTAAATGCAGTACTTTCGGGTAGTAATTAGTGATATTTTTGGAGATGCTTTATAGAAAATACGTCAGGTAGACCGTGTCTGATAGATTTGTGACGCCTTCCGTCCCTTTTCCGTGAATATAATGTACGTTATTACGTAGAGTTTTTAGATGTAACGATTAGCTGGTAAGATTCACAATAGTAGGTCGTCAGAGAATATCGCGAGAAAGATCCGTTGCTTTCCTGTCCCGTGAATTTTACGACGAAAAGTAATGAGAACGCAGAGATGAGCATAATCATCGCTATTATCTCCTAATCTTACTTCTTTGTGCGTAAAATAGTAGAATATTCGAGATAAGTTTTTATATCTGCATTAAGTTATAATGAACTTTAAATAAAGCTAAGTATACCTACAATACTTGGTGAAAAGGAGAAAAAAATAGAAGGGTTATAAGATAGTTAAGATAATACAACTATAAAGAACAGATTTTTATATTCTAAGAATAATTAAAATTTTTATAATTACAGCAGTTCTCTCTCATTTGGTAGATTATCAACTGTAACAGTAGGCATATGTTATTAAATAAGATATTCTAAAAACTATAAAATATTTAAAGTCAAATCTAGTTTAGCAATTATTGTATTAACAGCAAAAAGTTAAAAAAGGTAAAAATAGTAGAGGAACAGAAAGGTAGAAAAACATTTGGTAAATATAAAAAAAAATTCCTGATAATCTTATATGTAGTAACAAAGAATTATTTGATATCAAAGCAAAATTCTAATTTATTTGGGACTTGTTTAATATTTTATTCATTAATATTAAATAAAATTAATTATATATTGCGTATGTATGTGTATGCATGTGTGTGTATAGAAAGATTGGAACTTGTATATTTAATCTGTTTATCTTTTATCTTACAGAAATGTCTGTATGAGCTAAAAATCAGCTAACAATGGAAAGCTCATTAGAAGTAAAACACACTGCCTCAGGTGCGGAAGAATCTATAAAGTCTGAAGCACCTGTACAAAATTCAGATAATAACGAGCGAAATGATGGTGTAGCTTCACCGCCTCCTAATTGTAGTATTTGTCTGGGCAAGCTAGTTAACACATCTTTTACAGACAGTTGCTTACATCAGTTTTGTTTTACTTGTTTGCTTAAGTGGTCCAAGATAAAGACAGAATGTCCTCTCTGTAAGCAAACTTTCAAATCAATCATACACAATGTAAGATCTGAAGAAGATTACGATCAATATCATGTACCACCTGAATTGGTGCAAATCCCTCAAACCCATGTTATGGCTACTTTAGATGTCAACTTGGATGTTGTTAACAGATGGGAAGACGTGTCTCGATTTTTTTATAGGTATAATAGATCATAAAAACTTATACATATATATATATATTATATATATATATATATATATATGTGTGTATGTGTGGAACAATATCACGTTTGACAATGCATACAATAATTCTGTTTGATGAATGATTAGAACAACGATGACTGGCAATCGTCGGCACGGGACATTGTTGAATCCGGAGCAAGTTGCTAGACGTGAACAATTGCCGAGTATGGCACCTCAAGTGCCTAGGGAAGAGCGTAGACGTAGACGCGATAACCCTACGGATTATCGGCGCACTGTATATAGGCATGGAATATGGGCTACTGCATTACCTGACATATTCGGTCGCTTTCGCGAGTGTAGCGCTGATTATTATAGGTACATTATTTTCGGTAACCATCAGAAGCGTTACTCTAGCGTTCTGACTTGTCTTGTTTGGTTTAGTTAATGAACGACCAAATGAATAATTACTGATTAACTCCTTCAAAGATTTCAGATGTATTGTATAATCAGGCAATGTGTGAGCTATTTCATTTTCACATTCTTTGCTTGACTTACAGGAGACAGCCACAAGAATTAGATCGTCTCATACCGTGGCTAAACAGAGAACTACAAGTTTTACTTCCTAACAACGCGCATATCGCATACGTGATGAATCTAATAGCGGAGGCCTTAAGACAGTACGATATTAGAAGTCCGGAATTTCGTAGTATCGTGCGACCATACTGCAACGTACACACGGATCATTTCGTGCACGAACTATTGAATTTCGCTCGTACTAATTTCGACATAGTCGGATATGACCAGGCTGTTACTTACTTACCACGTGGTTTGGTTCATTCAGATTTGCATCTCGAAGATATCTAAGCACATTAACATTGACTAATTAGTTTGTTAATTGCAGGATTATCGAATGAGTTTACACCTCGTGTTGCCTCGCCCGTATCCAGTAGCAGTAGTATCAGCAGCAATAGTAATGTTAGCAGTAACATCAGTCTCGCTTCCGACAACTCAGACATACGAATACTTGACGAAGCGATTGATTTAAGAGTAAACACTGTAATGCCGAACGTGCTACCGTTTCCTATGAGTCAACCGGGTAATATATAATTCTTGATCATGTGATTTGAAGATTCTTGATCGTGAGCGAATAATGAGACGTAATGTTTTTTATTGGCACGAAAAGGCAGTAAACATTTTCAATTAGCTTTATAATTCAGAATTTAAATAAATGTAAAGTTGAGATCTGCACATATTATTACATCGTATGCGCTCACACTTTACATGTAATTTTTTGCATATATTTAACGTAATTTGTAATTATGTAGGACCCAGTACAGTAGGACAGCTATTACGATCGTTGGATTCATCTTTTAACGTGCCAGAACTTTTAATCCTTTCGTCAAGTTCCTCCGAATCGGACGGTGAGTGCGAAATAATCGGCTACGCGAAGCCACGTCACGAGAGGACACCGGAAATCATAGAACTGCTTTCGTCCGATTCCGAGCAAATAGCTCCTGTAAAACTTAATGATATCACACTGTGAGTTACAAATAAATCTAATCTGTCGAATTATGTAGTCTTAGCATTCACTTTTGCACGGAAAAAAGATTTGGTTGAATTAACCAAACATCTGATCGAATATGTACGATCCAGAAATTCCGATTGAAGTAACTCGAATTCTGTTTAAGTTAACAAGACTTTTGGTTCACTTAAACAGATTCGGGTTATTTCAATTGGAATTTCTGAATCGTTCATATTCGCGACTAGATATTTTGTTAATTCAATCAAACCTTTTTTTCCGTGTATATTATTTTATTTAATATTCTGGTATTTCGGAAATTTATTGTCATTTAATAATATAAGTACAAATGCAACATGATTGTCGATTTTGTTCATCAGGTTGACTACGGGAGAAACATTACCGGCGAATTCGTCATTACCAAGTACGTCTTATGCTACTGTAGAAACATCACCCGATTTCTCATCTGCATTGACAAGTGTAGATGACAATTCTGACAGCGATTACAATCCAAGTCCATGTGGACGATCTCGAAATCATTCGAAAAACTCGCCATCCAGGGAATTCGTTGGAAAAAAGCGTAAGAGACCGCGTAATACAAGAAGTCACAACAAACGATCCAGGGACTCTTACAGTTCCGAAGATAGTAATTTTAAGAAGAGAAGCAGCGCGAAGCAGATTGCGAAAAATAGGACGTACAGCTGTAGTAGCTCGTCAGAAAGTTCACCGACGAAATGCGATGAGAAACGATCGAGAAAGGAGAAATGTTACGCTAAAGAACGAATGAAGCTCGTCAAGAAGGAAGGGACTTATCCGAACGTTGATTCATTTGATGGTGATAGTAGCAGCGCAGATACCGACAGCAAGATGAAGAGCAACAAATGTGGTAGACGATATGTATTGAAAAAGAAACGTTCTCTTCTGTTAATTGATTACACGGCAAAGAGAAAAAGAACAACGAGAAGTAAAGAGAGGACGTTGATTCAAGAAAAGTTGAAGAATAAAGATAGCAAATGTGAAAGCAGACAATCCAGATCTAGAAGTACTAGCCTATCTTCTAATCCCTCTGAACAAGATAAAATACCGAGTTATAGGCACCGTGAGTTACGAGACACAAACGAGCATAAAAGTCAAGACGACAGTGCCTCAATAGATAAGGTCACGACGAAAAGGCAACCTGAGTCCAAATCAAAAAGCAAAGCGTGTTATTTTTCGGATTCGGAGGATGACCGTTTGAGATCAAGCAGTCAGTGTAGCAATCGCTCCAACAAATCGTATTCGTATCGGAAACGATCGAAACATAAAGACAGACATAAAGACAAGGATCGTAATAGATCCAGCAGCAGAACGTTCAATTTATTGCAAGCAGGCACAAGTTCAACCGTATCATCATCCACCTCCGGGAAAAACGATATCTATCCGACTAAACATTCCGATTGCATGGAGAATTACAAGTCATCACGCTCGGCTTATAAGGAATCGAAGCACAGAAAGTCCCAGTGCGAAAAGAAGTCCAGATCAAGGAAGAGAAGGCGACGTTTGCGATCTCCTTATACCTCTCAGTCCGAATAATATCACTTATATGTTAGCCAATATTGTATAATAAATTTTGATTTAAAAATGTCGACTCGAGACTTCGTAGCAAGGGAAATAATTAACAATTTCTAAGATAATCAAGTTAATTTCATACAAGTTTGTATCATTTTGTTCACATAGTTCCATCATAATGTTAAATCTATTCCATAATCACATTCCGTAGTTACATAGTTCCATCGTAATTTTAAGTCTATTTCGTAAATATACCAATCATTTAAAATCGTGACACAAATCAGATGATGTCTTATGAATATATTTATTAACGTTGCCTTTTTTAAAGGACGAATGTTTACATTTTATTAAATTCGCTTGCACAAACGATACTGATGGTATCAAGAAAATTTTTTCTCATAGAAAAGAAAAATGTCATCATTATGGTAAAATATACGTAACAAATTCGACATTCAATATCGTGGTAATATATTTCATAAAAAAATTATAATACAGTGTGAGAAATATTCATTACCTTTTCCTGTGCTGGGATTCTGTAACTCGTTATTGGAGTTAACGACAGTTTCGTTATCCTTGCGCAACTTTTCTACAGTATACAAAAGCTGCGCAACGATAACGAAACTATCGTTAACTCTAATAACGAGTTACAGAATCCCAGTACTGAGATGTAATTTTTTGACATATATGTGTTTGTGCAATATGTGTTTATATTGTGTTTACAATTATACAACTGATATATGTATATTTATGTACTAATTATGTATATGCAATTCTATATAAATATATATAGGAGTATACCAATATATATGTGTAGGCATATATGTGGTACACATATATTTCGTACATTGAATTTCCCAAAGATTGTAAATATATATATCTTATGAACGACTATAATAATTTAATTAAAGTTTGCATATAAAAATACGATGAAGCTAATTTTTTAGTGGGTATACCTTTATATGTTGCTTTTTGTGGATGTATATTTCTTTATATACATATATATGTATATATATATATATAAAATCACGGGTACATATGTACTGCGTAATCGTTAATACCGGGGTAAAATGTTTCATTCCGAGTCACTTTTCAATAAATATATTAGGCATAATTTGATTTCCAGTTTAATTTAGGCTGCAAATTGTTGTATTTTATAATGTAAGATATAAGAATCGATAAGAATGTTTGGGACTATAATAAAATAAAAATATTAATTTAAAGATTGTTACAAATTTACATTACGTTGATTTTTTCGTATTCAAGATTATGAAAAATTGATTTGAGTGATTAGTACGCCAGTAGAAAACAATGAAAATTAGCAGAAATATTATATATGTGAAGTATATTAACGCTACTGAAGCTTATTAACGCGCGCGCATGCGTAGAATTGATCTCATCATCTCACTATCCCTTACTTTGAAAGTCGTTTCACCATACAGGACAAAGTTCGTGAAGTCGTTTGCTTCACTTACAGCTGACGCGTGAGATCGTGACTTTGTGGTGAAGTTACCGAATTGTAGAACGTAGACAATAAACACAAAATGGATCAAAGACTTTTTCGAGATCAGTCGTTGATTACACGCGTACAAACGGTAACGATTATACTACGGAGAGGTTATGTTTTTTTTTACAACTGCACTATGTATATGTCACGTGCACATAGTGCGAGTTATTTAATAGAGAAGCGCTTTAAACTTATTTAAAACACGCAAAATCTGTTCATTTATCCGTGATTGCGCGCAACTATATCTGCTAATATTGTTTTAGTACATGCGTGAAAATGAAAACAAAGTCTACATTGACGTTAACGACATGGCAGACACGTTACAGAAGCGATACAAGGACTATCGTAATAAGAAACGCGGTGCATTTCGTGCAATGGTACGTAAAGCTTATGACGAACTTACAGAATTATTCTCGAGGAAACCGATTCGCGACTGCTCTACATACGATGAAGATTATGAGGATGAAGTAGACATTGAGGTATTTGGGTGATGGTATCTTACTAAAAATATTTTAATATGTTTTTAAATACAATATCTATAAAGAAACTGTTTGATTTTAGTCAGATTCGCAACAAGATCCAACAGACATTATGTTACTACAAATGTATAAGAAAGTACCATTCAAACAAAATGGAAATTCAAATGATAAAGAATTAATAGATATCAGTAGTGATGATGATATGTCTAAATCTGAACCCAAGGTTGAAAAGGATACAGATGAAGCAGAGCTTCCACATGATAAAACTGAAGAAGCTGAACCAAAGAAGCTTGCGTATAATAAAACTGTGCACATAACTCCATCGGTTACTCTAAAGCTTGAATTACCTGCTACTAAGCCACAATCATCACAGATACCAGCAGTGGTATGTATACCTGTATCATTTGTGACTAATTAAAGATACTGAAATACTAAGGAATAAGAACAAATTATAAAAATATACGTCAACTTGATATCTTTTTAGTCTGCAAATGGTACTGTAAAACCAACACCTTCAGAATCTATAAAAAAACGACAAAGAGCAAAGGATGATAATCCATCAGCAGCGAAAAAATCAAAAACTGTGCCAGTCACAGAATTAAAAGTTACATTCTCGAATATAGGAACTAGTGAGAAAGTTTTGAAAACTGTGTGCACTTTACTTGCTCACATGAAACATCCTGAGATCTTCAAGCAACTCGGTATATCACCACCAAGAGGATTTTTACTTCATGGACCACCTGGATGTGGGAAAACATTACTAGCACATGCAGTTGCAGGAGTAAGATAATATTTTTAATCTTAAAAAAAATAATCTAAAGTATACGCTATGATAGGAACATTATCTATTCGATATTAACAATTTTAAATAAAAATTATCTATTCAGGTTATTATGTGTGCATGGTTATTATATGTGAAAAGAAATCATTTTTTGTATTCTATAAAGATTGTTATAAATTATGTACAAAAGTTCCTTGGTTTACATATATAAAAAAGAAATATATATATATGTGTGTGTGTGTGTGTGTGTGTGTGTGTCTTATTCTAATTAATATTTTTTCAAAAAATTAGGAGTTAAATATGCCTCTACTAAAAGTAGCAGCACCTGAACTTATAGCTGGAGTGTCGGGTGAGAGTGAGGCTCGTATCAGAGAATTGTTTGATCAAGCTTTAGCTCTTGTACCATGTGTAGTTTTCTTAGATGAAATTGATGCTATTGCGCCACATAGAGCTACAGCACAGAGAGAAATGGAACGAAGAATCGTTGCACAATTATTGTCATGCTTAGATGGTACTATGCGTTTCTTTACACATATTACTATATATTATATATTTGACGTTGTGCCAACTTTGAAATATCTTTATTAGAACTGAATCTTAAAGAAAATGGAGATAGAGTATTGGTAATCGGTGCAACAAATCGACCTGATTCGCTGGACCCTGCTTTAAGGAGAGCAGGACGCTTTGATCGCGAAGTGTGCCTTGGAATACCAGACAGTGAAGCAAGGACTAAAATTCTAGCAGTGCACACTAAAAATGTTATACTGGCCCCTGATGTCAATCTAAAGACAATAGCTTCTCTTACTCCAGGTTTTGTAGGTGCAGACTTGGTTGCTTTAATTAGAGAAGCTGCCATGGCTGCTGTAGATAGGTAAATTCTAGCAAATTATTTTGAATACTGCATTAATAACTGTTACACTTTTTCCATGTTTATATAATATGTATTCTTTGGTAATATTACATCTATAACTGTCACAGAATTTTCGAAGATCTTAAAAAATTAAAGGCAGAAGAAAAATTACCAGAAGTACCCGAAGTGAAAAATGAACCTAGCAAAGAATCTCAAAGTCCCGAAAACTCGGGAAATCTTGCCGATACTGGTGGTGAAACAAACAACCCTATGAATGTAGATACAGATTTGAAGGAAGAATCAATTGACAGTCCTTTAAACATGGATAAAGACGTAGCAAACCAACAACAGCACATATTGTCAGACTTGACGAGCTTACTGACTTGGTTGCGTACTGAACCACCACTTTCTTCAGAACATTTATCGACTTTGTGTATCGAACACAGTGATTTTGAGGTTGCTCTACGCGTTGTACAACCCTCAGCGAAAAGAGAAGGATTCGCAACAGTTCCCGACGTAACATGGGACGACGTTGGTTCTCTGCATGATATACGGCAGGAGTTGCAAAAGGCCATTCTTGTGAGTGTCAATACTTTTTTAGTATACTTTAATATACTTAATATCTGTAGAGAGTAAATCCTATATATAACCATCAAGTTACTTATTGCACTTCTAGCGTGCACATATTAAATATATTTGTTTATCGCAGGCTCCTGTTAGATATCCGGAATACTTCAGTGCATTAGGCTTAACTGCTCCTACGGGACTATTGTTGTGCGGCCCACCTGGCTGTGGGAAGACATTACTGGCCAAAGCCGTCGCCAACGAAGCAGGGATTAATTTCATTTCCGTTAAAGGACCGGAACTTTTAAATATGGTCAGTCTGCATTGTTGTTTCAGCATTGCGCTTGACATGATGTAATCTATACTTGTGTGAGACGTAAATTGCACTTTATATTTTAGTATGTTGGTGAAAGTGAGAAAGCAGTTCGTCAGTGTTTCTTAAGAGCGAGAAACTCAGCACCGTGCGTTATATTTTTCGACGAATTGGATGCATTGTGTCCTAAGAGAACAGAAAGCGATCATTCGGCCACATCACGCGTCGTTAATCAGATGCTTACAGAGATGGACGGTGTAGAAGGTCGACAAGGAGTATTTCTCATGGCCGCTAGTAATCGGCCTGATATCATAGATCCAGCCGTCCTCAGACCAGGAAGGCTAGATAAAATTCTATACGTTGGTCTGCCGACTGCATCGGAACGAATTGACATTTTATGTGCGCTAACGAAGGTATAGTTCTCGTGATACGGAATTCGTTTCATCTGCCAAATAATAATAATTGCCAAATAATAATTGATACTTTTTTCTGGTACATGACAAATGTTTGTAATTTGTAGAATAAGACTAAACCGAAATTAGACACAGATGTCGACTTGAACGAAGTTGGACATAAAGCTAAGGGTTTCACTGGTGCGGATTTGGCTGCCCTGATAAGAGAGGCTGGTATGGAGGCGTTAATGCACGCGATTGAGATTGACTGTAGGGATCAACAACCACAAATCTCTATGCGACATATTGCACTGGCATTTGAGAAAGTGCAACCGTCTGTCCGTGAGAAGGCAAGTATCCGTTGACTAATCTTTACGTTGGATGATATATTGTACGTTTACGTTGTATAATATGATACCATATATTCCGCAGGATATTAAACACTACGAAAAACTAAGCAAACTATATTCAGTTAAGAAAAGTCCCGAGACTACTCCAATGGAAATGCCGACAGACACACCTATCACTGACGTAGTTATGGAGCCAATGGAGATTTAAAGTACAATCATGATAAACAGTTTGTAGGTTAAAGAATTCTTCCATTATCGAACATTACGTTGAGTTCTACACAGTGCAAGTGAAAATTATTTAATAGTTTAGTTTTCACAAGTCTAATGTTTAGCTAGTGAACATGGTTAAGTTTCTCTTATAAGAAACTAATTGACAATGTTTCAAAATATCAATTAACTTTTTCTACATTCTATGGCTGCGTTCGCTTTGGGCGCTTACGCGCTGTGAGCGTCATTCTATCTTTATCGCTCATTACATGCGGGAAGAAGATAGAATGACGCTTACAGCGCATAAGCGCTCAAAGCGAACGCAACCTATATGTTATCAATGAACTTGGACATGTATACTCGAATTTTCAAAGTGTATGATATATAGAAAGCATACGCATGTAATTTTAATACAATAAGAAATCTTAATAAAATTTTCATTTATCAACATATACGTTTATAAACATATACGTTTAGTATCATACGTATGCTTTATTTCCTTTTTTTTCTTTTTTCACTACGTGTGCAAATTCGATCGAGCACGCGATATATCTTAAAATAAGATTTTACAGCAATTTCTTCTTTCTCCTTGCTGAGAAGCTCGACGCGACACAACGTCCGCCGTCGCGACGAGACGTCGCTGACGCAGTTCTTCCGGAGCGCATCGTCGCTGCGGACGCCGCTATATGGGATACGTCTCCTCCTTACATCTCGCACACGGAGTTACTTTCTTTTTCTCTCTGCCGTTTCCGTGTTCGTTTATCCTTCTCTCTCCTTCCCTCTCTCTTCTCTATCGTGCGCTCTCTCTCTCTCTCTGCCCCCTCCCTCTCGCTCTCCTCGAGCTCCGCGCTCGCAGCGCGTTTACGCTCGCGCGTCGTAGGCAGAGCTCTCAATTTTGCCCTCAATTTTGATTGGTGCATTTCCATCTATCTTCAGAAATGCACCAATCAGAACAGAGTATTTCCATCCAGCAAGCAATCCAGCATGAAAACAAGCACCATATGCCGCTGGCTTTAATTAGCAGCACGCTGACAGCGCGGTGAGGGAACTTACACAAGCGAGCGCCCGTGTCCGTTTGACGTTCCGAACGTCGCGAGTCTTCCTTACTTTTCTCAATGTCTCTGCGAAGTAAGCGACGGATAAACTCAGGCTCATCGTCCTCGAGGAAAATGACTACACTTTGTGTGAAATCTGTGATCGATGAATCCGAAATAAACGCGGCCACATCGTGGAGTATGTTGTCCTCCTCGTGACAGCCGTTTACAAATGTGTACTCGCGCGCGCGCACGCATACGTGTGGTATATGTGTATGAACTGGGAATGTATGATTACACAGTGGATAACTATTTCGATAGTCAATGTCAATGGGACATATGAGTGGAAAACGAAGCGAATGCTCGTTTGAAGGCATTAAATGTTCGCTCTAGCCTGGAAGTATAAAGGCAAAAATGTAGATTGTCATCTATCTTTTGTCTTTTCTATGAGATATTTGTCTTGTACTTTTAAAGATACTTGTCTTTTAAATGTTATTAATATTAATCGTTAATAATATCCCTGAAAATACTTGTCAACTATAAAATATAATTTCTATTCTTTATTCCTTCTATTACATTATAATACTTTGTGTTTTGTGTTGAAGAGCAAAATTGTTTCTACTTTAAACACGAGTAAATATTGCGATCAGCAATTTTCTTTGAATTAGTTTATCCTGTAATGTTGAATAGTTATGTTGCATTGTTCAAAATACTGTATTTACTGTAAGATACTGGGTTAGTCAAATCAAGGAATGTTTCTGATTGCAGAATCTGCTCATATGCTTAATTGTATATCACAAGGAGAAGAATCTACTGAGCCTCTGTATATACAGTGACTTCATTCGTCTTTTCAAAATATAAATGAGCGATATACAGACAGCTCGTATCTTCAAAATGGTGTGAGCTGTCATAAACCTCCTGTTGTTCCCAGTAATGGTAAAGCATCACTCTATGTTATCATCTTTTTGATATGTGTCCTCTGTCAAAGCCAAAGCTATTGTGAAATGACTTTCTTATTTAATTTGCTCTAAATATGTAAAATAAAGTGAAATAGAAATATAATTGTATCAGGCTGTTGCATAATTTGTGCCACATCTTTATCTGTGATATAGTAAGATTTAACATGCACACATGGACACATGTCTGTAGGTTTCTGTGTATATATACAGTGAATGTAAATAGTATTGTACACAGGAGGTTGTTTGAAGAAGGCTTTATTTAATAATTTATTAACAGTGAATATAATAAGTGATATATTTCTCAAAATTATGTTAATAAATTGTTAAAACTTATTTTGTACAAATAAGGTTTATTTTTCAAAACTCTGGTATACCAATACTTTTTGCACTCACTGTATATATGTGTGTGTGAGGCTTATAATGGGCCTTTTTTCAGAGTTACACACGTCTTGTGTTGCGCCACAATGAGCGCTACTATACGATTTCATACAGTGGGTTGATTGAGGATTGTTAGCATACAACACTGCGTGCGACGCATATAATTTAAATCACGAGGACAAAGGTACAACCGAATCCGTCGACTTGAGTTCTGAATATTCCATAGAGTTATTGAAAACAATACATAATGACAGCGTAGTGAAATCTAGTATGTTGACCGATGCAACTGACGAATCAGTATTCTTATACGGGCAAGCTGCATGAAGAAGTACACGCGGATAGTTCGGCTAATTCTCGGAAAGATTTTGTTGAAGGGACTTTCAATTTGTTAGATATCATCGATCCGGCGGTATTCTTGTGTCGCAGTGCGAGAAGTAAAATAGGAATTTCGGTTGAACCGCGGGACAAGATTTCTTATCTCGACGAGACGGACATTAGCATCTCCAGGGGCCGTGCGTCGAAGCATTCGACGACAGACACGAATGACGATCACACATGTTTTATTTCTTTTTTTTTTCTTTTTTTATTACGTATGCAAATTCGATCGAGCGCGCGATATATCTTAAAATAAGATTTTACAAAAATTTCTCCTACATCATTCAATATTATTTAATATATCATCTCATACAGACCGCGTATTCACATACATTTGACTTATCGACAGTTACAATTGATGTCTACTTCGCTAAAATAGAGTTGTTTAAATAAAATAGAGAGTAATTAAAATATCGCGAAACTATATAAAGGCCGCATTTTAAGACATGATGAATTTAGTTGCCTGCATTATTTCCTGCTAATGTATACTAGCCAAGCATTAGAGTGAATTAGTGCAGCCAACTAAGTACATTATAGCATGAGCAAATTCATTCTTAGCCTAAGAAAAGCTATTATCTATTAAACATGAATCCCAAGACCATTTTTATATATAAAAGAAAATTTAACTAAGGGACTATTTTTATATATAAAAGAAAATGTTAAATACATAATTAGGATAATATATGGATAGTCTATGGCAGTTATTAATTATTGATATTCTGGTGTTTGTTCAGAGAAGTCAGTATTGCAATAGATTTATAAAATATGTTAACATTGGCCTAATTTTACTAAGAACATATATCGTCATGTATCTCACGCCTTATCTGTTTTACGATTTTTTACGATCCAAGGATGTACAAGGACGCCATCCATATCCAATCTCTTTTCCGGGTCGACAACTATAAGCTGAAAGATAATTCGTCAGCAAAACTTTAGCTTCGTTCGCTAAACTTTAAAATACAACACACATTATCAATATGAAGTTATTGATTAAATTTACCTTAGAGATTAAGTCTCTCGCACCTTCGCTGACAAAACTCGGGAATGTATATCGCAACTTTGTGATGTTCATATAAGTTTCATCATTACTTTTTGCATAGAAGGGAGGTTGACCAACCAAACACTCGTAACATAGTACGCCAACACTCCAAAAATCAACAGTATGATTATGTGTTTTGCCAGATACCATCTCTGGGGGCAGATAATCTAAAGTGCCACATAAAGTATCCCTTCGAGAAGAAGGAGCGTGTACAGACCACCCAAAATCAGCTATCTTTAATTCACCATATGCTCCAAGAAGTAAATTCTCAGGTTTAATGTCACGGTGGATAACTTTCTTACTATGACAGTATTTTAATGCATCTGCTAATTGCGCCATGTAAGTGGCTGTTCTGTAAATGTATAAATTTGAAAATAATTACACAGCTATTCATACAGGTGATGATAACTTTTCAATGATACCTTACCTTTGTTCATCAAACCGTTTGTTGGGTTGGCTATGCAGTTCTTTATAAAGTTCTCCTTTTTGTGCATATTCTAATATTAAATAAATTCGCTTGTCATCATAGAAATATCCATACAATCTCAAAATATTTGGGTGTCTTTGAAAAATGAAAAAATTACATTAAATATAACTTGGTCATTCATACATTATATAGCTTAGATAATGATTATTGTTAATATTTAGACAATACCTTAAGTGGATTTGAATTTCTATTTCTCTTCGTACTTGATGCATGATATTTGCTTTATCTATCTGTACTCTATAAAGCACCTTCATAGCTATTATAAATTTGGATTTTTTTTCTCTAGCTAAGTATACATTGCCGAATTTTCCTTTTCCTAAAGGGCGGCCAATATCAAAATCCATCAATGTCCATTTCTTGCGGCTTTGGTTTTCTGTATTTGCATCATCTACAGTTGTACTATCAACTTTCTGGTCTTCATCGCATTGGACTTCTTTCTTCGCGATGTTATTATCACTTTGTTCAGTATCAGAAATACTTAAGTGTTTAAAATTGCTAACTTTCAACATTTGTGAAGATGACTGATGGCATGTCCTGTTATTTTCTTTATCCATTGTGTATTTTATTTTAGCCTCGTTTTGCAATCTAGATGATAGTCGATGAGTCAAGTTAAATAATAATGTGATAATTTGTATATAAAGTATCTCGTAATGTGTGCGATTTAAAAAAAAATATGTATACACACAATAGACCGTTAATATCTTTCAAATGTTGAACGTCAGTTTATAAATTTCTCTCTCTCTCTCTATGATTTCAGGCCTGTACTTTCAATGGCCCTTTTACCATCAATTTATAAATTGTTTACACACACACGAATTTTATACTAAGTTCACACAATGTATTACTTCATATAAATTGCTATTCAGGATAATACTATGCTGAATACAACTATTCGAAAACACTTCGGTCAAACTGACTTTGCCAAGACCGACGAAACATGGAACCTTACTTCTTCATCTTTTCAAAATAACGAACACTTCTTGTTGATTGGTCAGTATGTTGGTAGCTGTGGTAGAGCTATGTACTTCCTTCCTTCCTTCAGTACGTGGCTCTAGGCATATTAGAGTCCTTATATATAGTCTGGCTACTGACCGTTCATACTGTTATTGGCTGCATTCAATTTTTGTAATAAAATGGCGGTACCAATTAAAAGTAAGACAAAAAGGAGGCAAATTTAAACTGAGAAAGGATATTATAAATGATAGAATACTTATAATCATAGATGTTTAATTATCAGTATAATAATAATTTATAAACTTAATAATTTAAAAAGTAATCAGTCCTTTCAATTAATTTTTGATATCCATAATGCTTTCCTTATAGAAATGATCATATAGAACATCCTTTTTGATAATAACTTTTGCATCCAATAACATAGCAGCTCAGCATTTTGACTTTTGTCTATATATATTTATATTTTAATTATTAATAATCATGTAATTTATTAATAACCTTTTAAGAGTTTACAGGAGTCGTAAACAAATCCTGAGTTGACTTTGGAGATTTCGTGCGAGGAGAACTTGAAGCTTCTGCCTCTGTGTGTATGGCTATACAAACGCCCACACAAGCGTATTATTCGCGCGAACGCAAAAGCAGGAAGGTTGGGTCGAGCTACCTGAACTAAAATGCAGTTATACTACACTTTCCGTAATATCTGCATTCACCAAAGTTTGTCTCATATATGGCTGCGTTCCGAAATTCACTGTCAGTACTGAAAATCTATAGATCATGTTACGTATACTATAGAATTTCAGTACTGGCAGTGAATTTCGGAACGCAGCCTATATTACATTCACTCACCAAACAATTTTTTATATCTTTCTTACGTTAGTACTAAGGATTATGGAGAATTCTGCGTTCAATGTCCAATATCCAATAAAAGAATAGCTTTCCAATGGAGAATTAAATTCTCTATTAGTAAACTGTTCTCCTATTGGATATCGAACGTCGTAGGTCGGATATTGGACGTAGAGACCTTATGTTTCGACGATTCTCAACGTGATTGGTCAATTTTTACGTTACGTCTTACGGTTATTATTACGGAAAATGTGTGTGAAGGCCTTTAAGGTTTATCTCATAGCAGTAAGCAAATTGACCAATCACAGCTGATGATTCTTCTTATGACCTAACAATCGGACTGTGATTGATCAATTTGCTCACTGCTTAAGTTTTGCTTTGTGCCAGGTTCTTAATTGTTTCTATTTATGAAATTGTTTTTTACTAATTATAACAACTGTCGAATCTTCTCGAATTTCTCGATCATAAAGTTGATCGTAAAGTTGATCGCGCGAATCAGCTGATCGATTAGAGGACGTATTCAAGTTAGTTTAAGGTCTACCAACTTTGTGACTCAAACCACAGTTTCCGAAATCGATTTCGGAACGTACTCTGCGCCGGCGCATACATACAGCACACCTCTGTCTGGCGGTTGGCAGTGGCGGTTCACCAGTGGCGTCGCGACAATGTTTGTTTACACGAGGAACTTGACCACGAGGACGACAACGACGACGACGTCAACGATCAGGAAGCTCGACGAAAATGCGAACGAGGAGTCGGCCCGATGCAGTGAGTACGTGTCACCGATTCCTCGTTCTTTGAGCCGTTCATTTGCTGTATGACGTGTTTGGCGTAGGCGTTCCCGCGAAATTCCGCTCGAACAGCTGACAAGCGGCGGCGACGGCGGCGGGGGGCGAATTCGCGCGTCGCGCTGTTACGTCGGAATTGCGTCGAAATTGCGTGATCGCGAATTTCGTGCGAGACTACGTTAAATATTGTGCGAATCGGCCGTTTATCAGTAACAATCGACCGGAGACAACAACGGACAATGACGTGATGCCGTTTTGCGCGATGCCGGGAATGTGTGAATGAGAGAAATTCGCGGAGTAGAGACGGGCGACGGTCGCCGCGACGCACACGTGCGTCCATATTTACGTCCTGCGCCTTTCCGCGCGAATCTATGTATCTCTCTCCCTCTCTCTCTGTCTCTCCGTACGAATGATAATTTCGAAATAGCACGGAACGAGCGCCGGCTTGACCTTGGTGGATCGCGTCGGATCGGCTGATTACCGATGAACGCGGAAGAATCGTGGGATACGACTACGATTTCTCGCGGTTTCGAAGGTTGGCGGCACAAGATGGATCACGGTGTTCTGATGAAACTGACTGTAGGTCAATTGTATATCGATAATAAGTATCTTCAATTATAGATAACTGCACCAAAGTAACTAGAGAGAACTCTCCGCATTCGCCAACGAGACGCGATAATTCGTAACAAACTCACAGTTAAAATTGTAACTACGATAAGGTCTATAATTTAAAGGTTACGTTTGTACGTTAAATTAACGTGGTCACAAACTTTTTTTTTTTATCATAAAGGGCAATGCATCGCATGCTTTACCAATGTGGCCGAACCGAACTTGACGTTACAGGGGCGTAGCTGCAAACATCGCGATTACAAGTGGCAAAAAAGACCGGATCTCGAGTAGAAGTAGCGGCGCGAAGATCGTCGAAACTACGATCAATACACGGCCTGAGCGACGGATTCTAGAAAGAGAGATCAATCGATGTAATTCTATTTGAGATACAAAGAATAGTGTGAACGATACGCGTCTTTATTGCTAAGATACGTTCGCACAGTCGTTCCTTATAATCGGTATGTTCCGAAATATGAAAATATATTGCTGCATTATTTTTTTTTGGAGTCTCGGCTAACTTTGGTAAATTCGTTTGGCGGCACATCGCGGGCGAAACCGATCGAAAGCGTTTTGCCGTGCGTGCATCTTCCTCTCTCTCTCTTTCTCCCTCGTCTTGGCAGTGGCAAAAACGGAAACATGAGTCGCGCTGCCACCGCGAGGTGTCAGGCCGACGTAAGGCTCGGGCTCGCGGCTGTGGACGGCCACCATTGTTGAACACTGCTTTGGTTGATGCCCTGGACGATTTTTGGGCCGAAAAATCGTAAATTTACTCGCGCCCGACAGCGGAAGGGCCTCGTTGCGGTAGGTGCGTGTGTGTGCGGGCTTCCCAGTGGCGTGCGTAATAGTGTGCGCGTGCCGCCCGGGCGACGGTGCAACTCTTCGCAACGCTCTCGCGAGCCGAGAGAGCGGGTGTGCAGGCTGACGACGATCGCGCACGTCGTGTCTCTCGGTCTCGCTCGAGCCGTTCCTGCCGTTTTGCGGAAACGGGAAGCCGCGAGCTGGCCCGGACCGCGGCCAGCCAGCCGCGAGAGGAAACCCGGCCACGCAGTTTCGTAATTTCGTTCGCGCGACGACGACGAGGAACGCGCACAGACTCGTGTGTACCGTGGCAGTGTGTGTATGCATGTGTGTCCGTATGTGTGCGTGAATGTGTGTGCGCGAGAACGAGTATGTGTGTGCATCGCACTCTCTCGCCCCGTTGACGGACCGTCGCTTCCTCTGCGTGTCGTCGTGTGCTCGTGATCGGTGCGATCGGCGCGACAGCACACCGGACCACCGACCGCGCGACACGACGTGCACGTCGCGCGTGCTGCTCGCCCGCCGTCGCCGTCGCCACCGCCGGCGGTGGTAGTAACACGACGCCGTGCATACGTACGTACGTGCCTGCGTGCGTACGTACGTACGTACGTATTCTATGTATGTATGTGTACGTGCTGCTTCGCGCATCACTCCCGTGCGTGCGTGCGTGTGAAACGGTGTGGGAATTGTCGCTTCAGCCGCTACGCGCGGTGTAAAAAAGAGCGCAAGGCGTGATAGCTCGTGGTGTGGTTTTCTCTCCTCGGTGATTACTCGCTCGGCGGTGCTCGCTGAGAAGTTCGACGCGACGAGTCGTCGCTGACACGCGGTTCCTCCGGAGCGCATCGTCGCTGCGGACGCCGCTATATGGGACGCGTCTCCTCCCTACATCTCGCGCACGGGGTTACAGCGACTCTTTTTCTCGCTCTATCTCTCTCTCTCTCTCTGGCGTTTCCGTGTCCGTTCATCCTTCTTCCTCCTTCCCTCCCTCTTCTTTATCACGCTCTCTCTCTCTCTCCCCCCTCCCTCTCGCTCTCCTCGAGCTTCACGCTCGCAGCGCGTTTACGCTCGCGCGTCGTAGGCGCGTTTGCGGTGCACGCGCGCGACACCACGCTATCGATGTGTAATACGGTACGTGAATGTGTGTGCCTACGTGTACAGGAATATACAGTATACTCGAGCGTAACGTGTCGCCGCCGTTCGTCTCTCATGCGTGTGTATACGTGCGTGTCGTGCGCACTGTGCGCCCGCTGCTGTCTCCCTCTTGAGCCCTACCGCCCGCGACACACAGCGTGTACGCCGCGCGCGGTGCGTGCCATGGGAATTCGGTGAACGCGCGGTCTCGGAGCAACGTGGTCAGCCGGGGCCGTACGATACTCGCCGGTGTCGTCGGCATTGTCAATGAGCCGAGTGTCCCGTGGACAACGTCGAAGTCGCGATCTGATAAAATGTGCCGCGCGGTAAATGCATTGCCTTCTAAGTTCGCGGTTAGAACCGTTAGAAGAGAGCACATTTCGCCTCCGCTGAGAACTCCGTATTCATCCGCTTGAATTCTCGACGTTCCGAGCGTCGCGAGTCTTCCTTACTTTTCTCGATGTCTCTGTGAAGTAGGCGACGGATAAACTCAGGCGCATCGTCCCCGAGGAAAATGACTACGCTTTGTGTGAAATCTATGATCGATGAATCCGAAATAAACGCGGTCCCATCGCGGAGTATGTTGTCCTCCTCGTGACAGCCGTTTACAAACGTGTACTCGCGCGCGCGCACGCATACGTGTGGTATATGTGTGTGACTGGGAATGTATGATTACACAGTGAATAATAACTATTTTGATAGTCAATATCAATGGGACATATGAATGGAAAACAAAGCGAATGCTAGTTTGGCAAATGGTGAAGGCATTGAACATTCGCTTTAGCCTGGAAGTATAAAGACAAAAATGTAGATTGTCATCTATCTTTTGTCTTTTCTATATTTATCTTGTACTTTTAAAGATACTTGTCTTTTAAATGTTATCAATATTAATCGTTAATAATATCCCTGAAAATATTTGTCAGCTATAAAATATAACTACTATTTTTTATTCTTCCTATTACATTATAATACTTTGTGTTTTGTGTTGAAGAGCAAAATTGTTTCTACTTTAAACACGAGTAAATATTGCGATCAGCAATTTTCTTTGAATCAGTTAGTTTATCCTGTAATGTTGAATAGTTATGTTGCATTGTTCAGGATATATGTATTTAATGTATTTACTGTATTTACTGTGTTGGTCAAATCAAGAAATATTTCTGATTGCAGAATCTGCGCATACGCTTAATTGTACATCACAAGGAGAAGAATCTGCTGAGCCTCTGTATATACAGCGACTTTATTCGTCTTTTCGAAATATAAGTGAGCGATATACAGACAGCTCGTATCTTCAAAATGGTGTGAGCTGTCATAAACCTCCTGTTGTTCCCAGCAATGGTAAAGCACCAGTTATGTTATTGTCTTTTTGATATGTGTCCTCTGTCAAAGCCAAAGCTATTGTGAAATAAGATATTCTTATTTAATTGGTTCTAAATGTGTAAAATAAAGTGAAATAGAAATATCATTGTGTGTATCAGGCTGTTGCGTAATTTGTGCCACATCTTTATCTGTGATATAGTAAAATTTAACATGCACATGGACACGTGTCTGTAGGTCTTTGTGTATATATATATAGTGAATATAAAAAGTATTTTTATACAGGAGGTTGGCTTGAAGAAGGCTTTATTTAATAATTAACAGTGAACATAATAAGTGATATTTCTCAAAATTATGTTAATAAATTGTTAAAATTTATTTTGTACAAATAAGGTTTTTTTTCTAAAACTCTCTGGTATACGAATACTTTTTGCACTCATTGTATATGTGTGTGTGTGTGTGTATGTGTGGGTGTGTGTGTGTGAGAGGCTTATAATGGGCCTTTTTTCAGGGTTATACACGTCTCGTGTTGCGCCACAATGGGCGCTACCATACGATTTCATGCAGTGGGTTGATCGAGGATTGTTAGCACACAACACTGCGTGCAACGCATATAATTTAAATCACAAGGACAAAGGTACCACGGAATCCGTCGACTTGAGTTCCGAATATTCCACAGAGTTATTGAAAACGATACATAATGACAGCATAGTGAAATCTAGTGCGTTGACCGGTGCAACTGACGAATCAGTATCCTTATACACAGACAAGCTGCATGAAGAAGTACACGCGGATACTTCGGGTAATTCTCGGAAAGATTTTGTTGAAGGGACCTTTAACTTATTAAATATCGTCGATCCGACGGTATTCTTGTATCGCAGTGCGAGAAATAAAGTAGGAATTTCGGTTGAACCGCGAGACAAGATTTCTTATCTCGACGAGACGGACATTAGCACCTCTAGAAGCCGTGCGTCGAAGCATTCGACGACAGACACGAATGACGACGCATTGAGAATCGTGTCGAACATTATCGAACAGTGCGAGCAAGCTTTAGACGATTGCGTCACTTCCGTATCGGATAACGAGCCGCTTGATTTAGTAATAAATTCAAAGAGAAATACACTTGAACATACCGTTCATGGCGAAACGGACGACCGACTTAATGAGTACTTATCGGTCATCGATAAAGGGACGCCTCCAGTAAGCCATGCCATTTTGAAAGACACAAGTCATTCCCCTGATGCGCAAAGTGATCATAACGTAAGGTACAAGAATTACGGTTTACTGCAGTTTTCCGACCTAGACAAAGTATCATGTAACTCGGACAGAGGCAAGGAATTATTGAGCGTCGTCAGGAACTTGCACACCGACGACGAAATAAGTAGAACGATTGTGGCGGACGACAACTTGAAGGTAGAGAGAGCGTACGATATTCTGGATAAATACGTTACGCACGTGTTACCTTCGCGCTTGAGCGACGCCAAGCAAAAAGGATTGTCCTGGACGCGTGCACAATCGAATGTTAAATGTAACAGCATCAAGAAGGAGTACGCTACCAAGGAAGAAGCACACAAGACGGAGAGCACTGTCTACAATACAAAATTAAACAATTGGGAGTATCTCGAGATGTCAGGACAGTATCCGGGACATAGCCGACCACCGGTTGGCACGCCTCCGCCGCACACTGTCTGGAACCACCTCACTATGACGCAAGGTCAAGGTAATTTTCAGCAGTTTGCATAAACATCGTTCACATATCATTGTTAAGACACAAACAGTTGTGTTCTGTTAGAAAGTCGCCCAAATTGTCGCGATTTAGCGCTTTGGTCATTTTGTGTGTATGTATGCGATCAATTTATATTTATTTTCTAAATTTTGAACTTAATATTTTCTCGGTTGTTTGACATTGTAAACTAAAGGGGATCACTCACAGTTATCAAAATGTTTAGTATCACCTATAAGTATATGACGTTTGTATACTGAGAAGCAATTATAGTTTTGTGATGTAATCTTTTAATTAATTATGTAAACAGCACGTGGACGCAATCACATGAAACTGCTTCAGTTTCAGGTCTCAATATTCACCCGACGGCGTTGTCCGGCGCCGCGCTGAGTCCGGCCTTTTACACACATCAGACCATCAGCCGAACGTCTCATCTGACTCCGCAGCACGCTCACACGCAAGCAGCACCGACGTGGCACACGCCTACGGTACCCCCGAAGAACGTCACGCCGGCGAGCACGACGAACACACCCCTGTTTAATCTACAAATGCTGGTGGACAATAGGCAAAACCAAAATCAGTACAGAAACTCACCGGGGTCGCAGAGCACGCTGGACCTCTCGTCCACGTCGGAGATCATCCCGGAGAATTACTCACGAATACCTCAGGATATTCCCATCAGTCTCACCGCGAGAAACGTGGACAAGGGCAGTCGGAATGGCAACATAATCTCACCGCCGATACCGTTGAACGGCGAGACATCGTCGGACAGTGGTATCAGCTCGTCCGTGCCGACTCCAAACTCTGTCAGCGAGCCGGTCTCGTTATCGACGAAGGAGGTCACCACACCTAAGATAACGGTGAAGAACTTCGAGAGCAATTTGAAGGGAGTCGCGAATCTCCACGATAAGATTAAGGAAATGAGTGTAGATAATTTTACGCAGAAAATGATCAACTTACCGCCCAGCGTGACGATAGAGAGGGTGGTCGCGGAGAAGAAAGAGCCTGAGGTGGCAATAGTGGCGGCGGCGAAGGCTAAGGACACGTTGAGTGTTATCGCGCAAGTGCCAAGAAACGTCTTACCCGTTATAGTCAATCGCGCGGCCAAGGAGAAGGACGTCACGGACAGTCCCAAAAGAGAATCCTCCTCCGAAAGGGACAAGAAGCTCGACGAGACTAGCGTGAGGTCGCCCAAGAGCTTGCCAAAGAGGGGTAAGAAGGGCGTCGATTCTCTGTTGGAGAAATTGGAGGGTGGTAATAAGAAACTCGGCAGCATGGAGAATATAGGCTCGGTGATTGTGACGCCAGTGGAAGATAAAGACAACTTGAGCGTGAAGAGCATGTCGCCGGAGAGGCAGAAGTCCAAGTCGCCGAATCGGGAAGACGAGGTGGTCTCGCCGGCGTTCAGCAACGACGACTCGAACGACAACACCAAGCAGCAGCGTAGGAAAAGAAAACTCGAGAAACCAGTGAGGCTCAGCAAGGATTCGAAAACGGAGGTCGAGGACATGGAGCTTGAGCCCACGGAACCCTCGGAGCCGCGGGCCATCCTCGACCCGGTGCTGGAGGAGACCGCGAATTCCTCCTCTGTATCGACGACGCCCGGTGTCAAACCGGAAGAGGAAGAGCGGCATCCTGTCGCACCGACGGCGGCGGAGGAGAGAATACCGAGCGAAAAAACGGACGAGAGGTTGGAAGAGGAGAACCAGCCGATCCGAAGGCGGCGGAGTAGCGAAGGTATGGCCAGTAACTCGGCGAATCAAAGGGTACGGAGAAAATCGAGCGACGACGCCTCCACCGAGTTCGCGAAGGCGCTGACGAGTCCGAAGAACAACGCCGCCGCAGCGAATCCCTTCAACGAGGTCGAGTCGGAGCTGGAGAAGATGTTCGCCGGTATTGTAGAGACGGACTCGAATATCAAAAATGAAGAATCAAAAGCGGAATTGGCGAGCGCGGAGATCCAAGATGGCGATGACGACGCGAGCGTGAAGCTCGAGGGCCTCGAGAATAATATTCTGCCGACGACGAGCGCACATCCGAACGCCAATCCCATTGACGTGTCCTCCACGGTGGACGCGAAATTCTCAGGCAAGAAAGGCAAGAAGGGCAAGGTGCAGGGTCGCAAGCGAAAGATCTCCAGATCGTCAGAGAATATTTTCGGCACGACGAGCGACGTCTTGATCAAAGACGCGAAGAAGAGACGAACGTCCAAAGGTTCGAAAAAGCAGGAACAGTTGAAGAAAGTGAAGCGCAACACCAAGATCGACGGCCTGAGGGAAATGGCTTACGATTCTGGCTCGAACGCGAGTTCCATCAGGTCACGTGGACCGGTCGTGCACGTGGAGGGTCCGAGAGACAGTCCGCTGAGCATCCAAGTGGTCAACGCGCCACGGGAGGAAGAGGAGGAGAAGAACAAAGAGAAGAGGAAAAGCAACGGCAATGGGAACGCAGGACGTGGCAGTAAGAGGCTCAGCCATCAGAACGATTTGGATTACAGAGGTATGTAAGGGTAAACGTGATAAACAGAAAATCTGGAATGTTTCATTAAAATTTAAAAGCGATCTATGCGGTTAAGTTACGAATTTACACAGTTCACGACTTGGTTGGGACTTTCAAAACGTTTTACTTTTAATTTAGATTTTATTTGAGAACGTTAAATATTTATATAAATAATTTTACGTGAAAAGTTATTAATTTACTGCTCAGCGTGACGATAGATAGATAGATAGAGATAGAGATAGATAGATAGATAGATAGATAGATAGATAGATAGATAGATAGATAGATAGATA